ATGTGTCTTTCAGCATTAATGTTTTCCAAGTGTCTTCCTGTCATTGCATTTCTGTACCATAGATTCTGCTCCAGTAGAGTTGTACCTCCTTAGACCAGGGCTGACTTGACCCAATGTTTCAATATTTTCCCCAAAATTGAAATGTAGTCACTAACTTTTCCATGTTGAATATAATCTAATTTTGATATTCCTTGCTCATATTTCTAGCATTTTTGGGTCCCTTTGTAGCACTTTGTTGTCCTACAAGTATGGTACTATACACTGGTATATAACATAGAGATCTGAAAAAGAATATATTCTTCTATCTCTTTAAGTATTATAATAAATCATGTTTGGATTTGAAAGAAAATCTATGAGTTAATTTCCTCTTCCATCTACAGAACCAGCTCCTTTACTTTGAATGCCAAAAAAATTTTAGTAAGCACTAAATTGGCTCTTAGTTGGAACAAGTCCTTTAAAAAAAAAAAAGATTGCTGAAATGTGAAAACTAGCCACTACTAGAGATAGGTTAGTTGTTCATGACATTTGGTACTTCTCCCAACTTCTTGCTGTATGAAATCAGTTGTTATCTTTAAAGTGAGTATAATAAGTAAAATTTTCAAAAGCATCTAAGTGGCTGAGGACACGAAATTTCATTTTCAAAAGTGATTTAGACCAGATTAAGGCACCTAAAGAGGCAGATAGATACCTATTGGGACTTTAAAAAGCACCTGAGCAGGTTAGGCATCAAACTCTCCTTGAAATCAATAGGACTTAGGCTGCATAGAATCATAGGACTGGAAGGGACCTCGAGAGATTGTCTAGGCCAGTCCCCTGAACTCATGGCAGGAATAAGTATTATCTAGACCATCCCTGACAGGTGTTTGTCTAATCTGTTCTTTAAAATCTCCAATGATGCAGATTCCACAGCCTCCTTAGGCAATTTATTCTACTGCTTAACCAACCCGACAGTTAGGAAGTTTTTCCTACTGTCCAACCTAAACTGCCCTTGCTGCAATTTATGTCTATTGCTTCTTATTCTATTATCAGAGGTCATGTTTTCTCAGACCTTTAATCATTTTTGTTGTTCTTCTCTGGACTTTCTACAATTTGTCCACAACTTTCTTGAAATGTGATGTCCAGAAATGGACACAATACTCCAGCTGAGGCCTAATCAGTGTGGAGTACAGTGAAAGAATTACTGCTCGTGTCTTGCTTACAACACTCCTGCTCATATATCCCAGAATTATGTTCGCTTTTTTTTGCAGTGTTACACTGTTGACTCATATTTAGCTTGTGATCAACTATGACCCGCAGATCCCTTTCTTCAGTACTTCCTTGTAAAGCTCACTAGGTGCCTATCTGCTTTTTTAGACACCTGAATATCTTTATAAATCTGGCCCTAAGTCACTTTTAAAATGAGACTTAGGCTTCTAAGACACTATTAAAATTTGAACCAATGGATATAATTCACTCATCAGCAAATATGCTGGGTTGCTATTGGTATAAAAATATATATGGCTAGTAAAACAATGGATTGATTAATGTTTTCTTCAATTAGAAATATACCCAACAAGGAACCCCATTCAAGTTTCTCTTTAGTGAAAACACTCCACAAAGAGAAAGGAAGGACTTTTTTTTTTTTTTAACAGCAAGTTAGTTTATACAAAAGTATTTGTATAGTGTTATATTGGGGCCATTCCTGTGCTGGTGCACAAATGACTGAGGCAGGAAGCATACGAAGCCTTTATTCCCTATGCATTGGACAGGGTTAAATCCCTCTATAGCAGTGGTGGGCAATCTGGGGCCTGCGGGCTGCACATGGCCCGTCAGGGTAATCTGCTGGTGGACTGCGAGACAGTGTTTACATTGACCATCCACAGGCATGGCTGCCCACAGCTCCCAGTGGCCTCGGCTCACCGTTTCTGGCCAATGGGAGCTGCCGGGAAGCGACCTGCGGGCTGCATAAACAAGAGCACTAAGAGATGAGCCTGACTAAGTATATCAGCCTGTGCAACATGTCCCCAGGGGGGTAGTGGGCAGTGAATTAGGGGTATGTCTATCCCAGCCCCTATCCCTCAGTGGCTAGCAGCTATGCTGCAGTCAATAGCAAATGCTGGTTGACAGCAAGTAGGAGCAGCAGGACTCTGAGCTCCTGGGCAGCGCAGCTGCAGAGCCCGGCCTGACCCGGTGCTCTGTGCTACGCGGCTGCCTGTCCTAGTACAGCTGCACCGCCAGCCACTGGTGCTCCAGGCAGCGCGGTAAGGGGACGGGGGGGTTTGGATAGAGGGCAGGGGAGTTTGGGGGTGGTTGGGACCGGGGGTGTGGATAGGGGTCGGGGTGGTCAGAGGGCAGGGAACAGGGGGGTTGAATGGGGGCAGGGGTCCTGGGGAGGCAGCCAGGAAGGAAAGGAGGGGTTGGATGGGGCAGCGGGGGGCAGTCAGGGGCGGGGGTTCCTGGGGCGGTCAGGGGACAGGGAGCAGGAGGGGTGGATGGAGTAGGGGTCCTGGGGGGGCAGTCAGGAATGAGAGCAGGGGTTGGATGGGGAGGAGGGGGGCAGCTGGGAGTCCGGGGGCAGTCAGGGGACAGAGAGCCGGGGGGGGGGGGGGGTGTGGATGGGGCAGGGGTCCCCGGGGACCATCAGGGAACAGGGGGGGTTGGATGAGGCAGGAGTTCTGGGGGGGCCTCAGGGGGCGAGAAGCGGGGGAGGGGTCGGATGGGGGCGGGGGCCAGGCCACGCCTGGCTGTTTGGGGAGGCATAGCCTCCCCTAACTGACCCTCCATACAATTTTGGAAACCCGATGCGACTCTCAGGCCAAAAAGTTTGTCCACCCCTGCTATAGATTATGTAGTAATTATATTCATTACTTAAGAATTCCCAGTTATCACTTTGAGTGTTGATAGGTTCTTGTCCCAAGATTAGGCCCAGTATTATGTGCAACACTCACACTATAGGAACCCTTCTATATTACAATAGTTTATTAATACATTTAGCAAAGTCACAAACACTTTAACTCAGTAAGGTAGATAGAGATAATACAGAATGTACATCTGAATATCTATATACTCACACCATCCCTTGCAGAACAACCTGAAATGTTAGCCACTGTCTTCCTCATCACCATCACCTTCTTCCTCATCACCACTGGCCATCATTCTGGCACCTGCCGGGGACTACATCTCTCTACTCCCACAGCCAGGCTGGGATGCAACTTTTATAATGTTACACTGATGCTGCTATGTCTAATGCATATTCAGTAGAGGTTTCTCTCCCTCCCCCCTTCCTTATTTGTACTTCCTCACCCTACTAATGTCGGGGTGCCTTTTTCCGATATGAATTAGTATATGAATTCTCAACTTATTATCATATACATCAGTTCATTGCCATAGCACTCTTGTAGTCCGATATCTGCAGGTGTTGATTCATGTTCCTGGGGTTGGCTGGTGTCGTTATGGTAAATTCCAACAAAAATCCCCCTTATACCTTCTATTCTCAGTTCCCCAAAACATGGAAGTTTTTGTTGAGCTGTTTATCTGTGCCAAAGTTCACAGGCTTCAAGCCTTATGCTGGCTGCTGAAGCTAATGTCTTACAGGGTACAGGCCTGTAGGTTCCTTGCATTACTGCTGAATATAATAAAGGCAAAATATAATGAAGGCAAGACAGTGAATATAATAAAGGCAAGCTAGCCCTATGGGCTACAATCAAGAGCATTCAGTGGCACTGAGAATGACTTCTACTGGTGCTGAGCAATTCCTGAGTGCTGAGCACTCTCAGGTCCCACTGAACTCATCTCAAGAGATTCTTAGTACGTTGCAAGCCCATTGTGCCTCAGGGAGGCAGACTGCTCCTAGAATTCCCCAAGTGCACAGGGGCACACCCATTACACCACCCTTTAGGAAACTGGCTGGTTTGGGGAGAAGGTGAGGCTATTACCCCACCTTCTTCCTGTCCATTTTGGGGTGGCTTGTGCACCTGGGGGTGATGTCTCTTCATTCTCTGTATTCTCAAGTGCAATTTTGGCCCACCCCTAAGTTGGTTGTAAAGAGAGGAAAGCTCCTTGAGGCCTTCTTCTCTCATACACTTGTTCAAGGACCATTGAGAATTTGGCCCCAACTGAGTTCCATATAACATCTCCTTGGCCTGCCATGAGAGCTCTAATCATGGCCAGCAGGATTCCTGCTTCGGAGGATGTACTCTGCAGCATCTCTGTTTCCAGTTGGTAGCACAAGGGAGGAGTTGACCGATGGCAGGAAAAAAGATCGTGTCAAAGCACAGCAGTTAATAGGATCATAAGGGCTTGGTTTCTTAACCTAGATACTTCTGATGTTTTTATAACCCAATAAATAAAGCTTTTTTTTTTCAAAATATTGTATGATCTTTCTTGCGACAAGTTAGTTTATTCTTCCTAATTGCACATACAGTGTAGATGGACCTGGGCTACGTCTGGCCCAGAAGACAGATACTGGTTTTACTCTTCTCTAGGAAATGGATATGTATTTTCAGATGAACTAGTCATTTGTTAAAGTTCACACTCTTTACAATAATATTCCTAAATTTCATTATGTGCCTTTAGTCTACTGGCAGTAAGGAGAAGTCTCCTAACTGCATTTGAAGGTGATCAGTTAACATTTTAATTGTTCATCGTGCTGTAACTTATAATGCACTTGGTATCTTCCCCGTAAAGCTTTTCTTCTCTCTTTAAAATGGTCTCTTTAGTATCCAGCAAAGGGTTTTGTTGCAATAAGAATTAAGGTGTGTCTCTGAGCTTTTACCTGGGAGCAATAATGATGTTGTCAAGTGTTTCAGTTGAGACCAGCCCAGGATTTTTGGGTGGGGAAACAGACACTGTTATACACCATCTTCAGTGATTCCTTCAGAGGGAAGCAGAACGCCTCCAGAGCTAGGGTGTAAGAACATCGAGTGAGTGTCTTTTTACATTGACACCAAAGTGAGGGGGGAAAGGGAACAGCAGGGTAACCACAACTCACTTGGACTTGTATCTAAGAGTAATCAGATGCAATGGATTGGCTCCCCTTCAGAACAACTGTTGTTCTATTCATTTTAATGGTAAGTAGAATTTTAAAACAATATTTGTAAGCTCTCTTTTAAAGTCTGTCAAAGTCCTTTTCTGAAGATGATTACATTTACTGCTGCCTCCACTTTTAACTACATTGAAACTCATATTAATCAATAAGGCAATTTTAAACATTGTGCCTTAGAAACTAACCATTGCTCATTTTCAATGGAATCTTTTAAAAAGCTTCCACAAGAACAGCCCGTCTTTAATTTTAATGTTATCAGAATTATTTCTTTTGAGTATAACTCTACCCATTGTACCATTCTGATTATTAATGCATGACATATTTATAATAAATACTTCTTAACAAGCTTCTTTCTTTATTAATTTATTATTATTAATTATTATTATTATTTGGTTGTATGTTTGTCTTCATTTGTCCAGTTTATCAAGGGTAACAATCCAGCATTCTTTAAAAAATAATGGCTAGGACTACTTCACAATAGATCAAACCTATAGTCTTTATTCAGGCAACCCTTTCCCACCTCCCATTTCATTAAATTCAATGGAGGTTTTGACTGAGTAACAACTGCAGGATTTGGCCCATTAGTTAATATTGCAAGAAACCATCACTGCTTGGTACATTAACATAGTAACATTAGTGTCTAAAAGTAGAGAATAAAGAAATCCTTACATTGGGGGTGTTATTCTCTTACTGTGTTTGTTTATATTATTGCAAAAAAAGAAAATGGTGCTTGTCGTAAGGCAGAATAGTTGTGTAAGGTGTAGGCATCAGGAAGCTGAAATTAACTAAAACCAGAGAGATATAAAAGAGGATTACAGAGGATTCGGTGGTGCTCTGTTCTGGCATCATATTCTGTTAAAGTTTTGGATTTGTTTTTCATAGTTTATCTTGCTTTACTAGAATTAAGGACAATTATAAGGCCCTAAAAACTAACAAGAGTAGATTCCCTGTACAATGGTTTGTTTTGTGGAGTTTGTTTCACACAATCTATACAATGAAGTGTACACATATATTAACCTTTTTTAATAATACTACTAAAATTATCCAAAGGATTATTGACATAGAATAAAAAATACTAGGGCTTATTTTGGACAGATTAAGCAAACCTTAGTTCTTAGATTTGCATTCAGTAAAGTAGAACTAATCAACATGGGCAGCGGCCAAGTAAATAATTTTAAGGTTTGGCAAAAAACAAACAAGGTTATGATTCAGATTATTTTCTGCTTGTTTAATGCAACATACAGGTCTCTTCCAGGTCTGAAATACTGTGTGTCATAATAACAATTTTAGCCTTTTATTCAACATTATCAGCATTAGGTAAAATGAGGATTATTAAATCACATGGTAATAGGTATTCTTCATGTTTGGAACTTCAGTGAAAATAAACTATAACTGTACTATAAATTACCATCCATTCGAGTGCACATTTTACTGTAGAAAAATAATCTCTTTCAACACTGCAACAGTTTAATTTAAAAAAAAAATTTTTTTTTACCATAGTTTTGTGACTGAGTCAGGATTTCAGTTTCAACCAGGAGAAGTGAAAGCTTATGTAAACATTAAGCACATTTTGGCTGTATGAATGGTCATTATGCAGAGATATCAAGTACTGCCATTGGAATATGTCTTTCTCTTGTCACAGAAGGACTGGTCAAATGTTCATAGCTGGAATTTACAGGGATCTTATTTTAATTCAGTCTCAGTCAAAATGGATAAGAAAAAGAGGCTTTTTTGTACATATAGAAGTAGAGAGATTAAATAAATTATGAAAGAATTCAGTTTTAAAAAATGACACAAGGCCTAACCTTGTACTCCCAACTCACCCCAAACTCACATTGATTTAGAGGTTAGGTTTTAAATCTCTTTTTTCTTTTTTTAATGAAAGACACCTATGTGAGTGGTATATTTGATGATGGGTTAACATATTATTAACAAATTAAGCTATACAAAATTGCTATAGAAATGTACACCCTGTAATATTCTGAATGCAGGGTTCAATTCATTTCTGAAATGAAAACCTTAATTTACCAGAAATAGACTGTGCTCTACAACTATTAAATTTTTAGTACACGTTTCCCCATTCGTGGGCCTGATTCTGCAACCCTTACTCATATGACTTCAAAGGCATTACTTGCATGAGTAGAGGGTGTAAAACTGGATTTTGTTTGTTGTATTTGCACGGGCATGTTTTGTGGAAATTGTATGTTTGATTTAGTATGACTGTTTTCCTTCCAGCTACCATGTGATGGTTAGTTTATAACAATCTTAAATTCACCACCTCTCTTGCGTGGCCACTTTTTTTCCGTATATTTTCTTCACTTTCTCTTCTAATTGCAAACATATGGGTTGCATTGTCCACTCATAACTTGGTGGGATAATTACAGTATGCTGCGGGGGGCCAAACCCTCCCCTTGGATATGCATGTAGAATACCCACTGAAGCCAATGGAAGTTGCAACATGTATCTAAGGGAAGACTTTGGTTTTAGGAACTTAGACCAAATTTTTCAAAGTGTCTAAAGTTAAGTACTTAAATCTATATTTAGTCTCCTAAATAAAAGTGGACTGATTTTCAAAGATGCTGAATGGAAACTGTGGGTTGTAAGCACCACTGGAAATCTGGAAATCTGGAAAAATTTTTATTTAGGAGCCTAAATATGGATTTAAGTACCTAACTTATGAAATTCAAGTTTGAAAAAAAATTGTCCTTAGAGTCTTTACTCAGGTTAGTTCTCCATTCATTTTTCGGACTGTTAATGTCAGTTAAGAAATGGAACTCCACGGAATTTCTACAGGATTTGGCCTGTATTATTTATCAGATAGAGGAGAACAAATCCTGATGACAAATTTGTTAAGGTGTTTAGTTTCATGAATACAAATATTTAAAAGTGAATGAATCTTTGGGCCTTATTCTTCTCTCATTACCATGGGGAATGTAACTTCCATTAGACCAGTGGGAGCAGGACTGGGAAAACATAGCATGTATAAGTGTCGCCTTCAGCCTCCAATATATCATAGAAAGCGTCTGGCCTTTTTAAAGTTAACATCATCTACAACAACAACCAGAAAAGCCATCGTACAAAGTTTCCCCTTAAAAATGAAACTATTTGTTAATTAAAGGACAACCAGTAAGCTAACAGCAATAAGAAATATGCTTTTCTGCTTTTATTTAGAAGATACTATGTGGGTTGTTTAAATATGTAGGGGGAAAGTTCAGTCCTTTAGCTTCAACCTTATATCTCAGCATTTAGCATACAGTGGCTTGGTTTGGTTTGGGTTTTTTTATGGTTGAGTTACAGAACTCTGGAAATAGACGTTCATGAAAGGAAGGGTTTGTTCGCACAGGCCTTTACTCAGTGAGAGTTTTGGCTGAGTAAGGAGTGCAGTCTGTGACCTAAAATGCTGACACAAACATAACCACAGTGGCACAAGGATGACTAATATATTGAGTGTGAGTGCCCAATACTCCTCCCAGCGAGATCAACAAATACTCCCCTTGACTTCAAAGAGAATAGCATCAGGCCCTTTAGGAGTGATGTTGGGAAACAGAGCAAAAAAGGAGTTATGGGCATGTTCAGTCATTTGGATGTGAGCAGGTGGAGCAGGGAGGATTCCATAATTGCATATTATAATATTGCTTGGCAGTCAGCTAGTGATTAGTTAATGTCTATACATTGCTTTGAAGATGCAAAGCACTATGTAAATGCTAAGGGCCAAATTCTGCTCCCAGTTACGGCAGTATACATCTGGAGTAGCTCCAGTGACTGTAATGGTGTTATTGCAGATTTTTCTCCAGTGCCAGTGGCACAAGTCTTTCATATTATTCAACTGAATTGCAAAGCTTTGAGACAGACTAAAGATAAAAATGTTTAAGATTGTCCCAACAAAGATGGGGTTTTTTCAGCCTCTCATCCCCCACCCCAATCTAGCAAATACCTCCCTCAAGTGCCTACTTGCTCTTCTATGGACTTCCCTTCAGCAGGAAGCCTCACACAGGCTAATGATCTGTGAAAGGACAAAAATCTTGATGGCACACTGAAGAGAACCAAGGCTCAACCCCTAAGCTTCCAGCAAAACTATCAAGTTTCCCCCTTTAATCAACTTCCTACCTGCCCCAAAATTCCAATAGTGTACCCCACACCTTGTACCTTTTCAATGGCATCTATTGCTGTACATGTAACAAATCAATGGTTGCATAGATAGTACAGCACTTAACTATGTAGGTGTTTGGTGTCATAGACATACTTAATATTGATATATCACCACAGACTTCCCATGTGACCTTGAGCAAGTCATTTAGCCTCCCTGTGCCTGAGGTCCCCATCTGTAAAATGGTAATAATAGCACTTCCCTACCTCCCAGGATAAATATACTAAAAGATAAATATACTGTGAGGATTAATATACTAAAGACTGTGAAGCGCTTTGAGATCTACTGATGAAAAACGCTACATAAAAGAGCATCATTATTATTATACTGTATACAGACTTCACATTCATCAGCTCAATGTGTACTTGTAGCATGAGGGCTCTTGACTCAAAACAAATGTGTCCCCTAAGTAAGAGATCCTCCATTAGCCACAAGTAGTGTCAGGGCTTTTTTTTCTGTAGAGCAGCCACTAGAGGACAGTGGTGAAGCTAATCTTCCCATTCACAAACAGGAAATATGGAGTGTAGTTGCGTGAAATCCTTCTCTTCCCCCGACAGTTCTGAGGTGCACGTTCAGAACATTCCCAGCTAGTGGGGGCCCAAGAGCAAAGGAAAAATCTCAAGTATAAAACTTGTATCTCTCATGGCTTGCCAGCTGTGTTATCTCCAGGTCAGGCAAGGCTGAAAATAAAGATTTTATGAATATTCATAACCTTAAAGATTGGTACTTAAGGGTTCTTTACTAGCACAATTATTGTGCAGTGGTAATACTATATCCTTAACACAACTTTGTGATTATACATTTTCAAGACAGGAATTCTAATGAATATCTTAGAGTATGTCAACATATGGAACATAAGTTACAATGTTGCGTCTTATAATATACACCAATTAATACAGACACTGGGCAAGATTCTCTAATTCTTGTACATGTTCCTGGGCCAAAAAGGTTGCTTGCAAGCCAGAGCGGATTTCATCCTAAGAAAGAGGAAGCAGTGAGGCTACCAGCACTGTCTCTTAGGGTTCCATTTTAATTCCCAAAGACGATGCACAGGAGCTCTGCCAAAGGAAGCAAATGCTAAAAGGCACTGAATCAGTGTAATGTTTGGCAGGGTTTTTCCTCATGCCCCCTTCCCGGTGGTGGGTGTAATTTGCTTCATGCTCTCCCTGAGTTGGGTCAGCTCTGCATTGACATCAAAGCAGGCTTGTACCTGTCAGGCTGACTGCAGCCCTTTGTAGGTAGAGTATCCTCTCCTTCTCTCTCTAAGTGGGTAATAATTGTGCCTGAGCTCAAATCCCATTCCATAGCTGAATGTTTAAATTGTCACCTATATGTACATTTTTAGATTAAAAGTGAGGCTAAAGCTACTAGCCCAACATACCCACAGCTCTTTCTTTCTAAAGAGCCAATCCACATTTATAGTTATCCTTTCAGAAGGAATATTCTTCTTGCCTATTTAGGTCCAGATTCTGCCCCCCTACCTCAAAGTGAATAGTACCTTATTCTGTGAGTAGTCTCCTTGATTTCAAGGTGCTACTCAGCTTAAATTCAGGTGGCAAAATCTGACCAATAATCAATTCTCTTCATCTTGCACTAATAAATTGGAGCCAGACTGTACAACCTTGCTCAGTGGTATGCGGTCACACAGGCAGTCCCACTGATTACTACTTTTGTAACTGGTCACCAACGTGCATAAACAGTTCACAATATGGCTAATTAGAGCCCAGGGGGCAAAACTGCCATTTGTGAACCTCATTGCCATTGGAAATAAGTGATTTAAAAAAAAAAATAAATAAAGCAAGCGCTATTAAGTGACTAGCTTCTGACAATATACTCATTCAGGAAATCATTGAAGAAAAATGTTTACAGGAAGGATGCATGAGTTAAAATTACCATGGGCTACATAGTAACTTCTGTGACAACTACTATTATTTATCTTCCACAACACTTGGAATAATATTCATTTGTTTAAAATGCAGAGCAAATGAAACTGTGGTGGCTTACTGCACAGTAGTACATATGTACACTGAGAAATGGGCTTAGTAGCAGGGCTTCAGGGAAGAGAAGGCTATAAAAGATAGCCAAGGATGGTGAGAAAAGAGAAAGTTCACAACCCCATTGAGCCACTCACCATTGGTGTGCCTTTTCAATACCAAATGGAAATCAGGCCTGATCCTGTAACACTCGCATTAGAATTCCTTTCTCATGAAAGATCAGGGCATAAATCCATAACTGATACTGTGAACTGATAATTTTACTGTACAAATTGCACCTGTATACTATATTTAAGAATATAGTTAACTAAACTAAGTTGCATTTTAAAAAATGGCTCTTTCCTCCTGAGCTTTTTCTCATCTCAAAGCAACTTCATATTGGATCTGATCCTGCAATCTTTACTGACATGAGTAATTTCCTTACTCAGTTAGGGCTTGATCCAAAGCCCACTAAACTCCATGGGAATCTTTCCATTTACTTCCCTGGGCTTTGCATCCAGTACTTAATGTCTTTGACTTAATGGAAACATCCATATAAGTAAGAACTTCTCACATGAAGAGTGGTGCAGAGTCTATTCCCCTATACTTAAACCAAGCCAGTATATTGGTCTAGGCGTGAACTTTGGAATGAATCTACTAAGAACAATTGCAGCCTTTACACCAATAAATCTCTCTAAAAAAAAATCTGGGACCTTGTCTTGTAATCCTTTCTTTAAGAAACCCACTCTCACAGAATCAGATCAGGCCAGATCATTTTTTATTTAATTTTGTTTATGCACATTTAAAGAAGAAGTTTCAATTTTTTAAATTAAAAAATACATTAGGATTCTAAATTATGAACAGACAATTATGAAATATAAATTACATTTTCTAAAAAAGTGTTTGAAAAATAGTTTATCCTTCACTTACCTGCCAGGGATAAAGCTTAGGAGTCTCTGCCACAGCATCAGGAGTTGAAGACATCAGCAATGCTAAAGCAGAACACAATACTCAGTTTTAGATGTTTGTGTTGTGATCAGTTCTTGCAAGGAAAACACAGATCCCTGGTCTCAGGGTCTTAGAAGGTAAGTAGAGGAAGAACAGATTTTCATATTTTTTTCTAAATATAAAATTGTTGGCAGCCTTTAAAGGATTCACTTTCACTTCCAGTGAAATCAGTGAATGTCTTTGACTTCAGTGGAGGTAGGATCTGGCCCTAACAGCCCAGTTCTATACTACTTGCCCAGCTAACTTCAATAGCAATCAGGCCAGTATCCTTAGCAGCTCTCATGATGTCTCAGCACCTCTTTCTCACAACCTTAATGTCGACCTATGCAAATGGAGCCGTAAGTGACTTGTTCAAAGTCATACAAGACCGTAGTAATGTCAAGACTGGAACACAGGTCTCCATTACTCAGTCCTGTGTTTTTTACAAATAGTTCACACTGTCCCTGTTATGTGATGAATTATTGAGAACATTAAGATTGTCAGCTCCTTGTTTTTATTGTAAACTAAAGTTTATGTATCATATTTCTTAGTAGCCCATTTTACCAAGTCTAGATCACTGGGCAGCTCCATTTGTGCCTATTTATAAGTCAGTTATTACAATGTTGAAAACTCTTCTTATTTTAGATACTAAAAAGCTGGTATTGTCCTATTTCTAGAAGAAATGTTATGTCTAACCTACACAATGTGTAAAAAGTATTTTGCTATATATTTGACATGATTAGTATTTGACAGAACAGTCATTGTTTTGATATATAAACATATATATAACCCCAAATTATTTTAATATATAAACATTGGTGAGTAATTAAGTTAGGTAGAGGCCTGAAATAAAGATGTAAAGAAATGGAAAAGGTTAACCGTTGTGTTATATGTTTTATATGTGTGGTGGATTTAAGGCTGGGGAATGCAAATTGATGCATCAGGAAGAGGGAGTCTTAGTGCATCAGGCAAGTCCCATAATGATTTACCCCCATATGACCCAGAGAGGTCAATGATTTTATACAGGGTGTAAATCAGTGAAATGCTTGACCTTTGCTTTTGATTCTATCAGAACATCTTGCTTGCTTTTATCAGAACTATCTTCCTCCTGTTCCCCCCCAAAATCACCATGATTTATTGAAGTGACTTATTTCCCATACAGCAAATAAGCCATACTTGGCTCTTAATTTTTAATTTTACAGAAAGAGCCTTTGCCGAGGAGTTCCCTCTTGAAGGGTGGAATAAACTAGCTTTTGCTTTTTCTTACTATTCTCTGACAAGAAATGATGGCCCTAGCACCCCTTCTTCTGATCAATTTAATTTCTTTGTTCCTCTTTGCTTTGTGGTTCCTTTGATTACTTTTTTCAACAAAAAACTAAGCCCAGAACATTGTTTGTAGCATTAGGACAAAATTCTGCTCACCTTATCCAGGCAAATAGCCCCACTGAAGTGCCTGTTCCAGCTGAAGTAAATGGCAAATCTCCCATTGACTGAAATGGGAGCAGTGTTACACCATTGGTTATATAGCTTCTGTGGCTACATCACAGTTCTTAACTGGAGTGTTTACATTCTGAAATTACTACTAGTTGTGATCAAACCATTTAACACATGCTCATAAGTTATCTATTGTGAAATTGCTCCTTTAATCCAAACTTGAAAAGAAATCTGGGTAAAGTCACACTGATGTGAGGGCTAACACAAAGCCCTCCGTACCATTTAAGCCCCACATAGAAGCTGTACAGAAGAGGCACAGAAAGCAGTGATGGTAGCAGGCTGGAGAGGGGACACGTGTCAGGGGAATGCCCAAGCATTGATAGCAATTCTACAGCCTCCTCACAAAGTGTCATGGATGTGCTAGGGTAGCACATGAGGGAGGGGGCATTGCTGCAGCCCCGGGCCCTAATGGCATGTAGGGACTGGGTTTTGCTCTCTCAATCCCACTTTCTACCCACTTAAAGCCAGATTACTCAGGCTTTTTATCGACAAGAAGAATTTCATCATCTGTGCAGCTCCTTTCAGGGTATATCTACTCGTGTCACACGCAGAACTCCTTGTATGGAACACACAGATTGAGTGCTGAATATGGCTCGGTACATTTTTCTTAGATTTGTCAGTGAAAGATACCCAACCTTTGTATTCGACTAACTGTATTACTGTATTTGCAGGTATTCTTGGATTTCAGTACTGGATTTCACGTAGAGGTAATATATTTATTAAAATAGTTATTATTAAAGAGCAGATTTTCTGAACAATGAAAAATGTAACTGTCATTAAAAATGAAATAAAGAATTGAAAGTTTTTTGTAAGCGAAGATATTTTTGGACCATACAACTTGAAAAAAATACTTAAATGTGACCTGCTAAGGAAAGAGATCTGGTCCTGCAAACTCCTAGTCTTATTGAAGTCAGCGGACTACTCACATGAGCAAGAACTTGCAAGAGTAAGGATGTGCAGGCTTAGGCTCTGGGACTAGAAGCTTTATAAACAGACCATTAGTCTATACTAATGTTCATACTGTTTACTATCTACTGTCTTCCGTACCTTACACTGTTAAAATCCTACCAGTCTATATTCATTACAACTGTATTCAGACTGCTTGTCATAGTGACACTGGAATTCTTTCTACATAAGGTGAAAGAATGGAATGAAAATGGTGTGGCGCAATGGAAAACCTTCAGAAGACAAAAACGGGAATGGGTTAAATTTGCTGCAGCTTGTAGGGAAGGAGAAGATAATTCAAGGAGGAATCCAATTGCCAAAGTAAGTGTTGTTTAGTGATTAGAAAGTATGTTGCAAAGAAAAACTGATAAAGGTAGAGACCTAACTGAGCTAATTGGTGGAGACCTTCAAATATAGATTTTGCCTAGAATGTCCAAAAGAAAAAAGGCAGAATAAGAGAGGGAAGGAGCTCTAGAGCTGCTGGTTCTACTGCGATAACCATACCCACATAAGATCAGAAAGCTGTGGGCTAGATTGTGGTACTGAGTGTTCTTGGGGCAGTACGGAGGCCTCCTAGAGCACAAGTGGAGCATGAATGCTGCTCCATTTTTTGGGAGGTGCAGCACAGATTCTGTCTGATGCCAGCTACACTATCACATTCTAATGGCGCTCTCTTTCCCGACCCACTTTGAGGAATCCCTGAGATCAAGGATTGGGATGGTGTCTGACTAGTGTGCAGGGAGGCAATGGGGCAGAAGAGCAGGAGGGTCCCGGAGCCCAGGCTCCAGCCCAAGCCCAAACGTTCACACTGCACTTTTATAGCCCCGCAGCCCAATCCCCACAAGTCTGAGTCAGCTTACACAGACCAGCCATGGGTGTTTAATTGCAGTGTAGACATATCCTGAAAGAGCAGCACTGGAAAGCTCTCTCAGGGGCTACATCCAGCCAACCATGTTAAAGAGAAGACTGGCAAAAAGCAGTCTGCGGGGCCCGAGAGGAGAGTAAGAGGAGAGTAACTGAGAATTCTGTATGATTTTTTGAGGGGAGAAGCCATCACTTGTGTTCTCAGTAAACTGTAATAAACATAATATTTTCCATTTGTCTATTATTGTAGATTCGATCAGATTGTGAAGAAAACCAGCCAATTGTATACAGCATCTCTGGAATAGGGATTGATCAGCCACCTTATGGGATCTTTATTATTAATTCAAGAACTGGAGAAATTAATATAACATCAATAGTTGATCGAGAGTTGACCCCAGTATTTGTTGTAAGTGTTATACAATCCATTTATTACCGCAGTATATTCTCCTTTCTTTTTTATTTGATGCCTTCTTTTGATGAATGCTGACAGAGAGGGAAGGGAAGTTTCAATTCATAATTATTTTCAAAATTTGAGTTTGTTTCTTCTTCTTTTCAATTATTATATATTTGTAACCCTCTTTATCCAGATTCGCTGCTTTGCTAAACATGCACTTACTGGTATCGATTTAGAACCGCCTCTTGAACTTCGAGTCAGAGTTCTGGATATAAATGACAATGCTCCGATATTTTCACAATCTACGTTTATGGGATCTATTGAAGAAAGCTCTATGGAGAGTAAGTAACTATTCTGTGTACATATTACAGCAATTGTCAGTCGCCTTTGCAATAGAGGCGACTGCAAGACAATTACCGTGCTTTTTTTCATCTGCTCATAATGTTCTTAAAGTAATTCTTTTCACATTTAGAAATTTTTAGGGAAATGGGTTCTTTTTTTTCTTTTTAAGTTTGATTACTTGTTTCTGAGGGTAAATATAATACCCTTTTCCTCATACATCTTAATCTGAAAATGTGTTTGTATAACTAAAAATGTGGCTGACATTGGCAACTGCAAAGTAAAGTCCTAATACAGCAAACCCTTCCTCCTAAGCACAGGGCTTACTACCAAGAGAATTCCTACTGACCTTACTTACATGAATAATCTTTGCACACATCATTAGTATCATTGAACTGAATGGGACTATAAAGATTACTCACATGACTATACATGTGAAAGTTCAAAGCCCTAACTTTGTGATAGCCCATACTGTGTCTTAAAACCAATCTGATGAAAACCACTTACTGCTTTTTAAATTATGGACACTTATATTATATATCCAACTTTTATATTAGAAGAATTCAGAAACTTTTTTCTGTTAGGCCCTAATCCTGCAAGTTACTCCACGTGGTCTTAATTTGTAATGCTTTTTTAAGAAAACATTTTTTTAAAAGTAATTGATTACTGTGACCTGGTTTAGCATAAGTAGCTGATTCAATGCTGACCACAACTTGTCCTTGTCTATATTGATCCCAATGTTATGGGAAACATCATTTACTCAGCTCAACTCTTCACAAGTCATATTCTAACACAAGGCAGTGAAGTCAAGCCCTGGAAGTCAATAAATGAAAGGGGGAGAGTCTGCTTCTTCCGGCATTCTCTTCCCTCTTATGAAAAAGGGACATATTGCCATATCTGTACCATGCACCAAGCAGGAAACTAAGGGACACTTAATGGCTCTGTCAGTTCCGTTTCCCCTCCTGGCAATCCTTGAGTGGGTGGAGAGGATGGTTGAGAGCAAAGTGGTTGTTCCCCTTCACAGCTCCACACTATGTGGAGGACATGGATTCCTTTCAAATGCCCCCATTCTTTTCCTCCTACCATGTCCCATTGCACAAAATGATGCAATTTGTTTAACCATATGATATCAACAACCATGATAACATACAGCCACAAAATCAGTGAACTCCCCCTACTTCCTGTCATGTATTCATAATTTTTTTAAAGGCCCGAATGAACCATTGTGATCATTTAGTCTGACTTCCTGCATAACTCAGGTCGTAGAATTTCAAAGTTCATCTACTTTAACCATTGAAAGTAAAGGCAAAATTTTATCCTAAGGAAACCTAAAACCCAGCTGTCCAGTTTAAAGCCTTCTGAATAAAATTAACTCATTTGATAGATTCAAATATGGAAGCATATTTTGGTGTAATTAATACGGCCAAGTAAAATGCATATACAAAATTCCAGGAAGGCATCAACATAAACTACTGAATATGAAGATGTTCTCCAAAAAACCCCAGGGTGAAGTCTGATTTTCATGATTTCATTAAAACAAACTTTGAATTTGTTGTTACTATGTTATTCTAAACTTACATCAATGTTTATGCAGCCTACATGTATATGTGAGATCAGAATGCAATTTTAAAAATATAGTGTGATTATATGTGCAGTATATCATCTGCAACAAACAACACAATAATTTATTGTGAGATTATTTGCTGGCATGTCAAAATACTAGGGTTGCTAACATATCTCTTCATCTTTAAATAAAAATCACTTAATATGGGAAAAATCATAAATCGTTTACAATCCTGATTTTACCTTTTTAAAAATTCACTGATGATATAAGTTTCCAAACCCCTGCTTATCACATCATGATAACCACTTCCATGGAGCGTAAATAATGTTAATGATCACAAAACTATAGATTTCACTTGGAATAAGTACAGCCACCCTTTTACTAAATTAAGTACTTTCTATTATTTTCTTAGTAAATGAAACTAAACATAGCTCCTTATAGGTAATATAATTCTTTTTTTATGTTGTTTTTATTCCTTTTTTATTCTTGTTTTTATGCCTGCTTGTCTTGCTGAGTAGTTTAAATTAACAAAATAGGGCTCTTATGCCAATTTAAGTGATATTGTCTTAATTCCTAGCTACTCTGGTGATGAAAATAATTGCCACGGATGCAGATGAACCAAATCACTTGAATTCCAAAATTGCCTACAAGATAGAGAGTCAGGAACCTGCAGGTGCATCAATGTTTATTCTAAATAAACATACTGGAGAAGTTCATATAGCAAATTTCCTTGACAGAGAGGTAAAAACTTCAGTATGTTAATATTCAGTCTGAAAGAAAGTGTGTGTGTGTGTGAGGGAGAGAGAGAGAAAGAGAGAGAGAGTAATGTATTTAGTGTTACAAAAGTGAAATAGAAGATTGAAAAGGCTTTATTTTTTATAATACATAGATACATTATGGGTTTTTTACTGTATTATAGCAAATATTTGAATCTATAACAAATTGGTGTATTTGAAAAGAGCAGCAAGAAATTACTCTTCATTATGTTTTTATGTTTTTATTTGTAAATAATGTGTTCATTTTTCTTTCCAATTTAGCAACATAGCAGCTACTCTCTTGTTGTGAAAGCCTCAGACCGCGATGGAGCTGCAGATGGAATCTCTTCCCTTTGTAATTGTGCTATTAAAGTTATTGATGTCAACGATAATTTCCCAACTCTTTCACAGACTTCAGTAAGTTTTTTTCCCATCAAAAGTAGCATCACTAACATTTCTGTGCCCTAACATCACAGAGATGACCAGTGCAGCCCTTACTCCTTCTGGGGAGAACTTGCTCCTGTGAATAGTCCTATCAAAAAGGTACTATTCACATGACCAAGTGTTCACGAACATAGGTAAACATTCCACAACCTGGCCCATGGTCTACAGCATAGGCACCGACTCCATGGGTGCTCCTGGGTCGAGCACCCAAGGGGAAAAAATAGTGGATGCTCAGCACCCAGGAGTCAGAGCTTGAGTATGGAATGTGGTGAGTTCTGTGCTGCTAACAACTTCTGTCCTTGCAGCAAGAGAGTTTGTTTATAAACAGAGGCAGAGTGATTAAGATAACAAAAGGCTTGTCATTAAATTACAGATCGTTAGATGATCCTGAAAGCATTCCCAGGCACTCCAGTTAAAAGATAGGAAATAAAGGGTAGGAATAAATGGTCCATTTTCAGAATGGAGAGAAGTAAATATAGGTACTTCCCTCCACTCCCCCCCCCCCCACCCAGGGTCTTGTACTGGTCTGGGATCAGTGCTGTTCAACATATTCATAAATGATCTTCAAAAAGGGGTAAACAGTGAGGTGGCAAAGTTTGCAGATGATACAAAATTATTCAAGATAGTTAAGTCCAAAACAGACTGCAAAGAGTTACAAAGGAATCTCACAAAACTGGGTGACTTGGCAACAAAATGGCAGATGAAATTCAATGATAGATGCAAAGTAATACACATGGCAAAATATAATCCCAACTATACCTACAAAAGGATGGTGTCTAATTTAGCTGTTACCCATCAAGAAAGGTTTCAGAGTGGTAGCCGTGTTAGTCTGTATGAGGGGGACTAATGGCACCTTAGAGACTAACAAATTTATTTGCATCCGATGAAGTGAGCTGTAGCTCACGAAAGCTCATGCTCAAATAAATTGGTTAGTCTCTAAGGTGCCACAAGTACTCCTTTTCTTTTTGCGAATACAGACGAACACGGCTGTTACTCTGAAACCTGAAATTTATTTGGGCATAAGCATCTTCGAGTCATTTGCAGTACTCTGGAAGCACTTGTTTCAGAGTAGCAGCCGTGTGTTTCCAGAGTACTGCAAATTCATAAGAATCCTTCTCACTGTGCCTGTATCATCCTGAACTGTGGAATACTCATTCTCCTGCTTCAGAAGACTTAAAAATGATCTCCAGTCATCAATGGGACAGACGCAACCGAATAATGTAGCTGTCCTTAACTTGTATCAAAATAATACCAGGGAACCTAGATGTAAATAAGACTGCTGACAGTTTCATCCAGAAAGCTACAGTGAGACCTAATGTCTTTAAACTGTTAGTGAAGACAGCTTATAGGTGATTGCAATGATCTTAATACACTGTAATTCATGATAATGTAATTATGTAGTTCGTAACAATTGAATCATTATTAAAATAGTAAAGATACCAATACATGTAAAGATACATTAAATAACTAATAATTAAATGCATCCGATGAAGTGAGCTGTAGCTCACGAAAGCTTATGCTCAAATAAATTTGTTAGTCTCTAAGGTGCCACAAGTACTCCTGTTCTTTTTGCGAATACAGACTAACACGGCTGCTACTCTGAAACCTGTCATTAAATAACTAGAATATGAAAGAAGCGTATAAATATTCTGAAAATAGCCTCACCCCCAAAATTTGCAGAGTGCCCCCCCCAACACACGTCTTCAAAAGCACCCACTGGCAAAAACAAAAGTCAGTGCCTCTGGTCTACACACACAAGTCTGATGACAAATACACAGGTTCCTTTTGCATCTCATGAAACCAGCTACAGTGGTTGTTCATACATATGAAGTGGGGGACAAATTAGGTCCATCTGCAGGATTGTTTCAGTCCTTACTCATGGAAAACACCCATTGATTTCACCCAGGATGATTTCACAGACATCTGAGGCAATACACACATTTGAATCAGCAATCAGAACCACACCCTATGTGGGGCACATGATATTTTCACAACTAGTATTGATTGTGAAGATAACATATTTCAGAAATGTAAAACCAACATATGCTTCTCTATAGTGCTTCTTCATTACAAAATATCTTTTCAGTGCTTGTGTGCATTTGTCATTCTAGTATTCAGCAAATATCGTGGAAAATTCACTCAGTTCAGAACTGCTACGGATACAAGCTATAGATGCTGATGAACAGTATTCGGACAACTGGTTGGCAGAATTTTTCTTTATATCTGGCAATGAAGACAACTGCTTTGAATTCGTAACAGATCCAGCAACTAATGAGGGTATTCTGAGGGTTATTAAGGTAAGGATGTATAAGTATTATAATTCACAGATTTTAAAATGACATTTCTATATCATTAAGGGCCAGATGCTGGGGTGTATAAATGCAAGGGAACCCCAAATCATGCACTCCCTGTGTATAAGATGCAAGAGAATCCCATGCTGAGAGTGGAGCTGGATATTTTCCTCAAAGAGCCTAACTGGGGAAGGGGCTATGGTCCCACAACTATCTCACACTGACTGGCAACCCTGGGCAAGGGATGCACATGTTATGCCTCCATGAGAGAGCCTCTCATCAGGACACTCCCTATAGTGCCAATGACTGTATTCTCCTTGTCTTTACACTGTGCAGGTAGTTTGCTTTTGATGCCCCTATTCATGTTCCTTACCAGAGCTGTGGTTTACATAGCCACTGTATGCTATTCATATAGCAATACACATTGGCAAGAGCAAAGAAAATAAAAGTTAAGACTAACATTCTTTCCTTCCACTGTGGCAAAAACAAAGAGTAAAAAAGGGATGTCAATTTTAACTTTATATTTCTTGGCTTTTTTCAGCTTAATGTAACTTTGATTAAGCATAGCATATGGATTTTTTCCTTTAGGTTCCCCCTATTAATAGTTATACGTGCTTTGTCTTAAAGCATATGACTTATCTATGCTCTATAGGAGCATAAATATTTTGGTTTTAGAATTAGAAAACTAAATTTAGAGTGATACATAGAATAATAGTGTTCTGAGCAAAGCCCCATGTACTATGTGATTATGTGACTATGCAAATACTCACATAATCCTCCCCTTTTGTAAGGCAGCTACATAAATCTCTTTTCTGTGGCACATAAAAGACCCGACAGAGGCTTGGAGGAGTAGTATAGAAAGAACTAGAATAGCAAGGAGGCCAAAGAAAAATATCAGCTGCAGAAAGAGACTTGAAGAGGAGTTCCTGCCCCTGCTAAGTCTGCTGGGTCAGAGCCCCCAGTCTCATAACATTTAGGAGCTGTACAGGACAGGTATACTCTAACTCCCTCCTTCACAGTGTAAGAGTTCCGCTGTAGTGGAGCTGGGGCAAGCTGGTAGCGATGAGGCAAGCAGCCTGGCGGCTGCTGTTGACATCTTTGGAGTGCTGCAGCTGGGATTGTGTCTACCCTGTTGGATTCCTAAGCTTTACTAGGAGTTGTGTTCTGGTGTAGTTTGAGTTCAGCAGGACAGGCATCTGGTCCTGGGATCCTGCTCAGCTTTAACTTTAATGGCGTCCTAGCTGTAGTCCCTTTTGCAGATCTCCCCCAGGCAGCCCTGACTCAAAATACCTTCCCAGCTGGAGAGTAAGTGGCTTTCAAAAATCATGGGCTTGCTTCAATAGACAAAAGGGGCCACACAGCAGTGAATCAGCTGGCCCCAACCACCTTTGCAAAAAACGAAAGGTGGGGGCAGCCCCCATCCTTGTCATGCATGTGTTTTGGACTTTTCTTGTTCCCTGCTGTCCAGTCAAAGGACATCCCTTTCTAACGGCAGTAAGAGAGTATCCACTGGGATTAGAGGGGTGTTCATTCATCTAAAATTAATGAATGAACTGAGTGTTTATGGATTTGACTAAGTTCCTATTTCTTTGTTTCTAACATTTTTAGCCACTGAATTATGAATACTTGCAAAGTTATCCACTGAGTTTTGGTGTTAGAAACAAAGCTGCATTCCATCATTCAGTTGTTTCTCAGTATCAAGTTAGTGGAACACCCCTAATAATAAATGTAAACAATGTGATTGAACCACCAAGCTTTAGTCCATCTTCAATGAGCTTTTTTCTGCCAAGAAGCTTATCAACAGCTGCCATGACTAATTACGTTGTTGGAGTATATACAGCCACTGATGAGGAAACTGGAAAAATTGCATCAAATGTCAGGTAAGACTGTCTTTACTCTCTGTGAGCAACATCCTCTCCCAGCATCCAGCCTGAATAATAATGTGAGCACCTGAATACCCAGGGAGAGGAAGGAATCCTCTATTCCAGTCCATGGAACAGAATCAGAGCCTGGCATGGATGCACATTTCAAAACAAGAAAGATTTCAAAAACTAACTCAATAAAGCAATAAATAACCATTTAAATAATTTGAAAATGTTTCATCCTAAATGGTAACAGATACATTTTAAATGAAGCATATAGGAAAGTCAGCAACAGTATTGTCTCTTCATTTCTAAAAGACATTACACAGCAATGTATATTCCAAAGAGACAGTTTAGTATTCATCACATCCCTGTATTGCCAAAGACAATTCAAATAGTTTCATGAGTATGGGACCTTGCCCAGCCAATGTCTAGCTGGCTGATCCTAATGAATATTAGCTGCTAGGAAAGCAATGGTGCTAAATCGGTTTTAGTCACATGAGATTATCTGTTCTGATCCAATTGTTTGTCCTTTGAGGATTCATAATATATTACATTCAAAAAACTACATTAAAAGAACATACATTCTGCGAAGTCAAGCACTCGAAAGTTAGAAAATGTAGGTGTTATGATCACCCAAGAATCCTTAATTCTAGTACCTGGTGCATCCAGTCTATTCACTGAAGGAGACTGGAGCCTTTGGGAAAAAATAGTATGAGATCATGTCTTCAAAAACTATATCATAACACATATGCACAAATGGGGTCAAATAAGTTTGCACAGGCAACCATGAATCTGGCATCTCCTAACTTTTGAGTGTTTGATTTTGCAATCTAAATAACTCTCTTTTAAAAAAGAGGCTTTTTTGTAATTTCCTTTTTAGAAAAATATAAAAATAAATTCTATTCCGTGTACAATTGCAACTATCCACGTCCCCTCAAGTATCATCAGCAGGTGAACCTTGGATTTTTATCTCTGCAGCACAGAATTCTACTACTTAATCTACAGAAGGAAAAGACTTGTCCCAAGAATGTACTATTGATTATATGCCCTGGGTCCGAGGAGTGGTAATGGGAAGCCCAGCCCAAATTTTTCTCACACTTCCTGGGAAGTGAGGGGCACCTTCCCCTTTCTGTGCCACGAGAAGGGCGGCTAGGACATGTGCTGGGTCTATTAGACTGGGATATCATGTTAACAACAGCATGGATCTGGGGAAATATAAGGCCAAATCCTTCAATCCATACTCAGGTATTATTCAGGCAAATCTCCTTTTGAAGCCAATGGTATATTTACCTAATTAAGGACTATAGAACTCGGACTTTAGCGTACATGGAAGTATCTTAAAGTGACAAATATTATTTTAAAATTAACAAATACGTAGCAGTATATTACAGTGTAATGAGTTTATACTAGGGGATTCTGGTGACAAATTTTATGAGGTCTGCTTAAAAGGTTTAAAATATCACCAGATCTCCTGAATAGAATTATCCTTGTATTATATGGCCGATTTTCTATCATGCTAATTATACTGGATAAAGGAAAGGTAGTGTGAAGGCTGCTGTAAGATATATTTTAAAGCTGTAATGAACATTGTACTCTTATGCAACATCATAGTTTATAAAACCTGTTAGTATATTTGTATTTCTCCAACACATTAAACTTTATTTCAGTATAACTGTTAAATTAATAATTTTCTCATAAAAACAAAATTTGAGGCCACATCCTCAGCTGATGGAAATTGCTGAGGATGTATGTATGTCCATTGAAGCCAATGAAACTACGCTAATTTATACAAGCTGAGTATCTGGTACTTTCATGTTTGTAGTACTTTACATTAAACAGAATCCTGAGCAGTTTTTGTAAACCAAAAACAGATATATAATGGGACGTGATCCAGCTGCCTGGTTCAGCGTCAACTCCAGAACTGCTGAAATCACTTTGAAGAAAATTATTGATCGAGAGTCATCCTATGTAGTCAATGGGTTGTACAGAGCAGAGTTGCTGGCTATTACAAGAGGTAAGAAAATAGATTTACCCTTTGTCATTTTGTATTTGTTTATAGAACTGTCCTGGCCCTAATAATATTGGTCTACTATCCTATTAAAGTGGCTATTTCTCTGAACAAAAAGTATAAGATGGAGCTGGCCCAAAGTCAAGTGTTTTCACATGGAAATCTTCAACAAAAAATGAAAAGAACTGTAATTTTTATCAAAAATTTTCAAGAAAAATGTTGATTTTTCAACAGAAACTGGAAAGCCAAAATAATTCAGCCAAAAATGGGAGGTTTCATATTTGATGGTAATTGAGGTTTGTTCCTTATGTCCTTTATTCCCCTGTATGGGCTGGGATCCCCAGCTGGACTACATCTCCCAAAATGCATCATACTTTCCTTATTGATGAGAAGCTGACCATCATGGAGTCTCTGGCTCTGATGCATTGTGGGAGATGTCATCCAGCTCGGTATTCCCTCCCATAGAGAAGAATGGGGCATGAGGAGCAAACTACAACTCCCCCAAGGCACTGCAACTCTCATTTTCAGCCAAAAGTTTTCAGTTTTTGGCTGAAATATTTAATGAAAAATTGAGATTTTTGCACAGAAAGCAGCCACTCTTTAGATGAAAACCAAATTAGCCAAATCAGTTTAGATGGAAAATTTTTGACTAGCCCTAATATAGGTCTGATTCTGCAAACCGTTATTCACTGGAGTATCTTCAATGGGATCACACATGAGTAAGATTAGCAGGTGTAGGATGTTCTAAAAATTATGTAACTAGTTTCCTTCCCTCCAGTGTTAGTTGAGATCAGGTGTGACTAACACATATGAATCAATCAACCTTAGGTAGTCCTGAGCTCAGGCCTTCTAAACTCAGCTAGTACTGCACCCAAAGACTAGAGTGCTATTTATTCTTATGGCTGCCACCTTTGAAGACCTGGAGGATTTGAGTGTTTTGATAGCTCTGAAATAATAAATAATAATCACCGTCATTTTAAGATTTAGAACCAGCAAGGATTCTAATTACAAAGCATTGCCATCAAAAATGGGGATATGTCTTCCAAATATACTACTGAACAGTCCAAAGCTCTAGCTTCTGGAGCAAATAGTTGCAAAATAAGTTTGATTTGGGATATTAATGTGGCCTGTGTTTCTCAGTTGGGAACAATGAGTTAGAAAAATTTTGAAAATTTCCCATAATTAAAAAAATAATCAGAAACAAATGCACATAATTTTTTCTCCATTATTCAACCACCTTTAGTTGTGAAGCCAAATTCTGTTTTCACTTACATCCATGGAAGTCCAAAGTGACGTCCATTCCTTCAAATCTTTACTTATTCATGCAACTAGCCCCACTGATTTCATAGAGACTTTAATGGGTGCTAAATCAGTTGAAGTCAATGGAGTTACTCTGGATTTACACCTGAGTAACCTGAGAGCAAATTTGAACCCCGTCACTTTAATTAGCACACCATCAATGTGTGAACAAATAAAGTTAGGCTTGGGTTCAGTTAGAAATTTGATTCTTGAATTGTAACTGTAAGAAATTTTAAGAAAATGTACAACCCCTTGAATACTTCTTTAACACCAATTATTGTTGACAGATGTTCCTGCAAAAACTTCCACTGGTACCATTATGCTTACAGTTGACGATTCCTACTATAACTGTCCAATTCTTCATACTGAAATGAGAAAAGTATGTATGAGTTCTCCAACAGTTATTATCACAGCAAAAGATCTGGACGGTGGTCTATATAGTCCTCCCTTTACATTTATCATAGTTAATCAGCCTGCAAAAAGTTCATGGAGTATTAGCCCAATAGATGGTGAGTAAAGTTAAATTTTTATAACATAGTAAGTCATAGAAATAAAAACTTATTTAAGGTTTTCTTGCTTGCTTGTTTATTTGTAAGATTGATGACAATGATAATCAAGCAACTAATAGAAATTAAGATGGACAGTACAGTTATTGGGCCTCATTCTGAATTCACTTGAATAGTTTTTATATTGGTATAGTTCATTGACTAACTGGAGTTGCTCCTGATTTTCAACTGTGTAAGATGAGAAAGAGGCTCATTATTAGCATTTTATTTAAAATTATTAGCTTTAAAATATAAACCTATATGAAGATTCCATGGGACAGCTATGCTTTTGATTTTATTTTGCTGCACTGCAATTATGGTGTATAGGGTGTATAGCTGAAGAGGGTCTAAAGCTAATCTAGTAATTATTTTGTTTTGTGAATTGCCCAAAGAGTTCTGAACATATTATGAAAATCCCAAATGTATTAATTATATGATGTTATCCATGAATTTCTTGCTCAACAGAATACTTGATTTATGAAATGAGTATATTAGAATTGCAAATACAATTTGTATTACAATCTACAATCCTGAATTTTTTTGCCACTGACTTTAATGGAAGCAGTGTCCCCTACATTAGTTTAATACATTAGTTACATAAATTATAGTGTGGTTTTCAGATTCTATTTTAAATTGTAATAGTCACAGATTACACTTTCAGTTAGCTATGTAAGACATCCAACCAGGGACTGGAAACAATATCACATGACTTAAAGAGTGACTGTGAGCAAGTGGTGTTCCAACCATGCTGTAAATACAAGTCCACATATTTTGAATAGGGTCAAATCACCCCCTTTTTTGGGGGGGGGGGGTTATAAACAAGTCACTTCAAAATAATTTCCACACCAAGCTTACTCTCCAGGCTTGGCTTTTCTTCTCATAGAATGTCTCACCCCAACTCCCTAGATTTCTCATTCAGTGGAGTTATTAACTCCACCTCCTTTATATCCAGGGTGGAGTTAATAAACCACACTCGCAACATAGTCAAGAAGGTTCACTAAGCATCTCCCAAAGAGTCAAAACCTGCCGAGAAGGTGGGTCCATAGGAGAACCTGCCACCATGTTACACCAAACAACACAGTGTAAATTTTGAATTGAATATACATTATTTTATTTATATTACAATAGCACCCAGAACCCCAACTGGGATCTAGGGCTCAATGTAATAGGAATTACACAAATACATAGTAAGAGTAATCATTGTCCCAAAGAACTTAGTCTACTTTCGCTTCTACCCTTTGTCTGTCTTGTCCATTTAAACACAGACAAGTGAAGTGACTTGCTCAATATCACAGAGCAGATCAGCAACAGAGCCAGGCAACAGCAACAGGCGGGTTCAGCATGAGAGTATCATCTTATTCTCAATCTTTATATTCTGTACTGTAAACACCATAATAATGAATTGCCACAAAAGGTCTAGAAAAGAGTAAATTTAAAGCAGAATTCTTAATTTAAATTATTCTTTTATTCTTTTTTTTTTTCAAAAGGTTACTCTGCAGAGCTGAGAACTCAAAATATCGAGTTTTTCATTTATGACATATATATCCATATGATAGACAGCCAAGGCAGAAGATGTGAACGACCACAGAGAATTCCTTTGCAAGCCTGTCTTTGTGATAACCTCCTAGTATGTATTACTGGTGCTACAAAAAGAATTGTTGTCGAAAAAGTTACGGGCGTTGTGACGATTGATGATCGCCAGGTCACTATTGGTAGTACTGTTACATCTGCTACTGTTGTTACGGTTACTAATCCTGTTACAACATTCATGCCTGTGGTGCGTGGAACGACTACACTTGGTGGTCCTGCTATTGCTCTGATGTTTCTTGGAGGCTTAATATTTGTGTGTAAGTATTCAATAAGGTATGCTATTTAATGATCTCTCGATGCAAAGAGTACTGTTTTACTCTTCCAAAATCATTTTTTATTTTTTTATTAAAATATAGAGGCACAGAGGATCTCTGTGGACAAAAAGAAGCATCCTGTAAATAATATGAATTTTTGCATGTAGTTTATTCAGAAATCATTATTTCTCTCCTTTTATATATCGCTTTTTCCTAGATCACTATCCTTATCATAATAAGGATCTTATGCTGCCCCCATTGAAGTCAATGGGAGTTTAGGCAGGATCGGAAAGAAGTGTAGAGGTTAGGATCAAGAGTAAGTAAAATCTGGGCAAAAGTAGGCTCTAAAACTTTACCACAACTTGCATTTATCTCAGTAACATAAATGAGCCTCCTTATTTAAAAACATTTCTAAAAAGAGTGGTCCATGCTAAGCTGAAAATAAACCAAAAAATAATAAATACGAACCCAATCCTGGTTTCAGTAAAGGCAGAACAAAAAATGTCATGAACTTCAATGGTAGCAAGATGAAGGCCCTAATGTTGAAGTCAATTTCTGAGCTGGTGACCATTATGTTGATGAAAATTAATATTTTCTGTGAGAACAATTAGAATACATCACTTATTTAAATATGTCCTCATTTTTCAAACAATGGAAGTTGTGGTCTGGGGAGGAAAAGAATGAATCCATCCACACTGTCGTGTTTCAGCAGTAAATATGGTATATGAACTTTAGAAATGACCTCCCATAATGCCAGAATCACATATGGTGACAATTTTCAGCAGTATGACCGCTCTTAACATGCTGGTCAGAAATGAAGAGCTTTAACCATAAAAAAACTCTTTGTTCTAGTGTATTTCAGAGTCATGTAAGAAATTATTCTCACCACATAAAAACTTTCTAGTATTCTGAATGTCCTTCTGACAACATTTTGAAATGACCTGATTCACAAATATTGGTTACATCTACTGTAGGAATCTAATTTGTTTCCCATTTTAGTACTTTATTTTTAAATCTTTGATTACAATTGGGCAAATAAAAATAGGTGAAGATTTTCAAAGATACAAGTAGCTGTTAGGCACCCATTGACTTTCAGTGAAAGTTATGCACCTAGCTGCCCCATTTTTGCCTTTGAAAACCACCTCTATAATCAATAGCTGCTAGGGTAAACCATGGCCTTAATCCTGTAATGTGATATGTGTGGGCAGATCTGCATGCATCACCTTGCTGCATTGGCCCATTGTTGTAAGGCACTTTGTATAATCCACAGCCCACTCCCTTGCATTTTACTACTCCTCTTAAAGTCAGCAGAAATGACAGGTTATTTATTTGTAGGTCATGGCCAAAGAAATCCCCCATCCCTAACTTGTCTGTTCCTTGGCTCTAAACATTCAATTTCCCAACCAGGAAATGTATTTTCCTTTTTGTGGTTTTCAGCGTAATCAATTTATTTATAAAATGTTCTCTCACCAAGATTCTTGGGGTACAATAATTCAGTAAAGCACAATAAAAACATGTTGAAAACCACCCTATTCAAACATCAGGCCACCAGGACAAATCAATGGGAACCAAAATGGAAGAGAAGGTCATAAGTGTGGGTCCAAATAGACTAGTATGTCTTATGTATCTTGGTCCCCAGGTTTTGAAATTTTCATGTGTCTTCCCAAATGCCTAAATTTCACATACAAATCACTGAAGAGGATATTTATAATTTTAAGAACCACCATAGAAACACCTATAGTTAAGGTAGTCTGACACTTTCCATTTTAAGACCATGCTTATAATTTTGCCAAACTTAATCTGTTCAGGCTGAAATTTTCCATGCCAGGTTTCTGCCTCAGGCTGATTTGTTTTTGTTGTCGTTGAAAGTTTCAGCTAAAACAATTCAGCTGTTTCTGAGGATTAGGTTAAGGGAAATACACTGTTGTGCAGATGTTAAAATATTCTTATAACTATTTGATTGAGAAGCTCTAGCATTTCCATGCTTTGTTGTCCCCATGAAAATCAGACCAAATCACAGTTCTCACATGCTCCGTAGAGACTTGTAGAGTAGAGTTTGCTGGCTAAATTCTTCAGATTCCATCTCTGTGGGGCATGTTTCAGTCCAGGACTGCAGAGGCTATAGCAGAACTTTTCCTGCAGTTGCACTTCTTGGCAGCTGAAGTCCACTGTGTTCAGCTTCACAGGAATTCTCCTCTGCTCTCAATGATCCCATGCTAGTGCTCAGGCCACAAAGAGGAAAAGGAGGAATGAACCTGACTGGAATGTAGAGGGGTGAGGTGCAGTGGAGGGGAGAAAAGAAGAGTAGGAGCAGTGGGAAAGAGAAAAGTGGGAGGGAAAGGAGCTGGAGTAGATGGGAGTAGGAGCTGAGGGGTGGAGATGGATATGTTCAGAAGGGGCTGACGGAAGGAGGCGTGGAGGCAGGGATGACAGAGAGGGAGGGGGCAGCAGCCAGGGAGCTGGAGAGGAACAGAGTAGGAGAGAGGCAGGAGTATATAGGAGCAGAGATTGACAGAGACATGTGCCAAGTGAATTGGAGCAAGAGGGGGGACAGGTTGGAGCCATAGGGGCAGAAGGGTTTATAACTACTAGAGAACACTCCCCTCCAGAACCTGGAACTGAACCCATTATTCCTGAGTCTCGAGATGGTGTCTAGCAAGTAGCTGTGAAACCCACTGGCAAGTATGTGTCATCCCCTTCTAGTGGCTGGTCCACATAGAGGATAACCTACCACTGCAACCACTGACTTTGTTATCTCAAGTGGTAGAGGTATGTGCTGTGGTCTAAAGTGGTAGAGGTCTCTACCCTATTGGTATCTCATGTGGGGATCCATATGGTTCCACATGATGGAATTTTTCAGTTTGCTTTTTTAAAAACCTAGGCAATAACATTTTAAAAACTGCTTTAAAAGAACGTTAAGGTTGCAAAGTCAAACTCAGACTTTAGGAAATGCCAGAAGTAAGTTTGCCTGTGAACATTTAATTTGGCCCTCTTGTCCATATGCATTATGATACAATCTTTAATTACGTGTTCACATACTATTTTATCAACAGGACTTCTGCCTTATTCAGTGCACAGAATTGTCAGGGTTCTATCATGAATGAGTCTCTTATCTGTAGAGCTCTTGCATTGTAAAAGTTGGAAGGTATATAGTGAAGGACGCAGGAGCTTGCAAGAAGAGAAAAGAGGGCCTCATGGCTGAATGCTGCCCTGGAGAAGTGGATTATATCCTGGTCAATTGGAGCTATTCTTTGAACATATACAATTTTTAAGTACTCTGAAAAATCAGGCGTGAGGGGTCTTCAAGTTGAGCACCCAAAAACAGTGGACATTTTGACCTTATTCTCTCTGCCTTAGTATTTCCAGTTGTAAAGTGGTGATAATACTTCCGCTTCACCTCTCCATAATCTTTGTGGTGTATTCAGATACTATAGTAAGAGCACCATAGAAGCGCACATGAGAAAATTAATTATTTGGTATTTGGTACAGGGTTTGCAGGTGTACAGCAAATAAGACTTTGGACCACATATTGAAAGAGAAGGATAAAAACAAATTTTGGATAACTGCCCGTTCTGTGAATGAGGCATGGTCCTTTGGAAACTATAGCATGTGATCATGTAATTAAAGATTGTCTCATAATGCATATACATAAGAGGGCTTTTTGCTTAGACTCTGACAATGACTTCTGAGGAAAATGTCTGCTCATACATGTAGATTCAAGTTTCCCTGAACCTGAGTCTGTTTGGTTTTAAAGTGTTACCTGTATAGCTGAATGGACCAAAATCTGTTCCCAGTTATACTGGAGTAAATCTGGATTAGTAACTCCACTCTGCTCCAGATTTACTCCATTGCAAGTGGAAGCAGAAGTTCTCCTGATGACAAAATAATATGTGCATTTTCAAAAAGTCACTAGTGATTCTCAGTGTCCCAGTTTTTGAGTTGCCAACTTGAAACATCTTAAGCGAGTCAGATTTTCAGAAAGTGCCAATCATCAGCCCTCTGAGGAAAAAGAAATCTGAAGAACTAGATCTAGATGTAGATATATACTCAGAGATGGAAATACGTTTTAAAAATATAATTGATTTACTTTTGTGTTTCTTTCTCCATTAGTGTTTCCAATTTTGATGGCAATGAGTGACTGTTGTGGTTATGGAGCTAGACCTGTAGGTGGCGTTGGGGCCGGATTTGAGCCTGTACCTGAATGCACAGAAGGAGCAATTCATTCATGGGGAATTGAAGGAGCACATCCTGAAGACAAGGTCAGTTCATAGTTTGTAAAAACACAGTTGTTTGTACATAGAATTAATTCTATCATAATGCCTAGAATTGGGACACTGATTACGGTGCTGCATCTTTTTTTAAATAAAGGAATTGATAGTGCAAACTATTACGCATGCAAGTTTGTTCATTGACTTACATAGGCTTTAAGAGCCTGAGTAAATACCTGAGTAAAGGTGCAGGATCAGGATCAGACTTTGTAAAGTGTTACAGCTGACCTTTCCTTCTATGTAGATCACAAATTTTAAAAAAGAGCCAGGTAACCAAATGGTGATCTTAGTGCGTATTTAAACAGCTGAAATATTATTTTCCAGGATATCAAAGGCATCAGTGCATCAAAAGCAGCTGCCACTGCAGGTGACTTTGCTGACTCCTCTGGTAAGTAGACTCTGAATTTCTCTAAATTTTGTAATGCAGAGAGGCATCTTTCAGCATGGAATGTCCTTTTGATATAAAAGGCCATTATCTGATTTAAAAGGTTTCATTTTCCAAGCGAGGGCCCAATCCCACAACATTTACTCATACAAATAGTCTCATTGAAGTCAGTGGGATTTGTCATGTGAGTAAAGGGCTACTCATGTGAGTAAGGTTTGAGCCTTAGGTACAGGTAGATTTGGGCCTTAGCTATGTGTTTAAGAAATAATTGTTTTGAAATATTTGCCGGTGCTTTCAAGCCAAAATACATCTTGCTTTAACATTCCAGTTAGCAAATTATTTTTTCTTATCAAAATTAACTATTTCAGATACAGTGTAAGAAATATAAGCAAAAATCATTTTCAGTATTGGAATAATGTAATTCTCAGTAATAGCTAGAGAGTTCAGTTCTTCCCTGACTTTAAGCAAAGTTTGGCACTGAGGAGGGCGGGGACTGCCAGGGAGCTAGTTTCTGCTCCCTGATCCTTTGTCAGCCCAGACACAACATCCGCTAGAGCAGCCTTTGTGATGCTCTAATTTATACCCCTGCTATAAGGTCCCTTAGAGATCTTATGCCAGTAGAGAATCAGTTTAACCATGGCTCTTCCTTCCCCCAGTACGCCCCCTATGCCAAAGCATGAGGTGAGGATGGTGGACACAGCAGCCACCTCCACTAGGTTGATGCCAGCAAGGAATTCCCTTCCACAAATCATATTCTGTGATGGCCATTTATAGACAAAAAATGTGTTACCCTCGAGATAAATCAAAAGATGAAATCTTATGGTTCTGAGAATGGGAACTTTTATTCATTGATGTCATGGGGAGCTTTGCCAGAATAATGACTACAGGTTTAAGACATTTGCAACTTCTTTCCCATCCTTCTCTTCAGTCCTCTTGCAAGAGCCTATGGGCCAAACTCTAACATCAGTTAAAATCAACAAAGGTGACTGGGTATAAATGAAAGCAAAATTTGGTTTATGGGTATAACTTACCACCGACATAGTCAAGACAATAGTGACTGAACAACTAATTGTTTTAGTACAAGTTGACATTTGAGACCAATTCATAGAATCATAGAATACCAGGGTTGGAAGGGACCTCAGGAGGTCATCTAGTCCAACCCCCTGCTCAAAGCAGGACCAATCCCCCCAATTTTTGCCCCAGATCCCAAATGGCCCCCTCAAGGATTGAACTCACAACCCTGGGTTTAGCAGGCCAATGCTCAAACCACTGAGCTATCCCTCCCCCCGATCAATCAATGAATTGATTGATCTCATATAAAGACTTCTGGAGAAAAGAAAATTCCACACAACATACAGAACTTTAAAAAGGAATTTTTCATTCTGCATTAGGAATACTATATTTATATACTTTAGCTATTGCCTTTTATTTTCCCCCCAGAAACACTACTTTTGAACAATTATGCACAGCAAAGGCAGACGGGTCTTTCTGTTCTTAACATCCAGTAAACATAGGGACTGATTTTCAGTAAGATTATAGGTGCACACTTATGCATTCCATATATTAAAGTACAAAATCAGACATACTCATGCAAGTCCCTAATATATGCACACACATGACTACGTAGGCACCTATCATGTGCATATGCAAATTAAGGATTTTTTCAAGCACATTCTGTATTGTGTATGCAAATACAGGCCCAGAATCTTACAGAAAATCAGGAAGATTGTAAGTGTATATTTGCATGCATTTAATTTTTATTGCAATTCCACTATTTAGCACTATAGCACATGCCTGTCCGAATCTGTAATTGACACTAGCCCAAACTGCCCTTAATTGATGGCTTACTAGGTTTTTTTTAATGTTTGTAGTAATCAAATGGTGAGCAAGTAATGTCAGTGAAAGTTTTCCTCACAGTGTATTCTAGGGTAATATTTTTTTCTATTTTCAGACATTTATACAAATACATATGGAGGAGGAGCAGTGGTAACTTCAGGACTTGAAGAAACTACAGGGCTCGGAACAGCTGTAGCTTATGGAACAACTAACAGCTATGGGGCAGCAACTGCCTATGGAACAATGGGGAAAAAAGAGTCAATTGGAGGGACATTAAGAGAGTATAGAGAAGGAGGAGTAAATATGGCTTTCTTAGACAGCTACTTCTCGGAGGTAATTTATCTACCTGATTTTTAATATATTTGTCTAGATAATGTCAGATTCTAATTGGATTTACACCTGTGTAACTGGCAAGTAACTTCAATTAAATCAAAAGAGTTACATAGTGTAAATGGTGTAACTGAGAGGACAATCAAGCCCATTGTGTACATTGATAAGAAAAAAAGGTAATGATAAATGAAATTGCTTTATGTGTTGTTGATATAATAATCTGAATGCTCAAAAGCATCCCCAGTTGAGGGATACAGTGAACATTTTCATTAATTGTCAAACTGGTTATTAATATGATTTATCATTGCCTTGGTTAGGATTAGAGCTGGCAGATAATTCGTAGCAACTCATGTATTTGATGAATGTCATCTTTTTTCTGTTTGTGAATTATCTATGACTAGATCATGAAATTCTTGAATATATTTTTTATTCAAAATTGCTCATGAATTTCTTCATCAAATAATGCTTGGTTAGGGCATAGTTCATTAACTGTAAATATTATCACTTCCCACTGGCTTGTTCTTTTCTTATTGTCTCTGTTCCCAGAATGGATGACTAAGGTAACTAACCAACATGGTGTGAAATGCAAATTGTATATTCAAATGTAAAATTCAATTTGCACAATGCTGATTAGTTACACGAGTCATTTAAATGTGGAACAGAAACAATATCATGGGACTATGTTGTTAGCTAACAACATGACCCTTGCGTCTCAAATGTTATAACTAAATATACTATCAAAATTTGTTTCTGGTGGATATTTGAACTCAAATTTCATTCTTCATAAGTACTTGCCATAGCAAAAGCTTGAGAGGTTAAATGTTAAAGGTCAGAAAGCAAGCATAAAAGGGTGACAAATACTGAGAAGTAGACATTTTATTAAAAATTCACACAAATATTAATGGCTAAATTTTCTCACTGCTTTTATCCACTTGTAGTTGTAGTCACCTGTGTTCTGCGGTATTATTATAGTAGGTCACATTCTGCCTGGGAGTTCATGCATGCCAGAAATCTACAATTGGTAGATGACCTACAGGGCACAAATCAGCTGCTTCAGTTCTGGTCCCACTTGAAACATTACAGAGGCATAGCTCTGCAGCTCTTCTGCAAGAGGCACAATATCTGGAAGATAATGCACCATGAACAAAGGTTCAGGGGCCTACTTGTTAACAGGCAAATCACAATGATCCCTCCCATTATGCCTCAGATATTCAACATCTCTTCCTCCTGTTTTTGACACTAAGGCTTCGTCGACACTACACGGCTTTTAGCAACATGGCCGTGTCCACATGGCCATGACGCTAAAAGTTGGCACTTTTGCAGACAAATACTTCCACCCCCTACCAGCGGAGTTCACATTGTTGACAGGAGAGTGCTGCTGCTGACGAGCCGTTTACACTGCCACTTGCCACTGCAAAACTTTTGTCTTTTGGGGCGGGGGGGGAGGGGGGGCCTGTGAATGACAAAAGTTTTGTCGTTCAATTGGCAGGGTAGACAAGCCCTAAGCCATTAAATTCTTTGTGAAAGGCACCAGTATAAAGATTGCTAATATTTGATCTCATCTGATCTACAGAAAAAAGTCAGTCTAATTCTGTTTTCCCTTTTTCTCCTTCAGAAAGCATTTGCCTATGCAGATGAAGATGAAGGCCGACCAGCAAATGATTGTCTACTAATATATGATCATGAAGGAATAGGTACTCCTGTTGGTTCCATTGGCTGCTGCAGTTTTATTGGAGAAGATATCGATGACACCTATTTAGATACATTAGGACCAAAATTTAAGACCTTGGCAGAAATCTGTTTAGGCAAAGTCATCGAACCCATTCCAGGTGTTAGTGCTACCTTTCCGAATATTGAAAGTGATCTAAAGCTGCCACCACCTGGAACTACTATCATCGTTAATGAATCTTCATCTATGCCTCCCACAGTTGGTAGTACAACAATTGTTACCGAAAACACTTACACATCTGGTTCTACGCTACAGCCTGCAAGGCCTATACCTGATCCTTCACTCCATGGTAATGTAATGGTGACTGAGACCTACACATCCGGCTCAACTTTTCAACCACCCACACTTAGTGTCGATCCTGTCCGTGCATCAAATGTTGTTGTAACAGAAAGGGTGCTTGCTCCTGCCGCCGCCTCTGATTTGCGCGGCATTCTAGATATTCCTGATCTAACAGATGGGGCAAATGTTGTAGTCACAGAAAGGGTAATTGCACCTGGCTCAAGGTTACCCCCTTCTTTGAGTATCCCTGATTTAGCAGATGCATCAAATGTAGTGGTGACAGAACGGGTGATTAGACCTGCCTCTGGTCTGCCAGGCAGTTTAACTATTCCTTCTGAGCTATCAAATGCACATAATGTGGTTGTTACAGAGAGAGTAGTATCTGGCCCTGGCATGGGCAGCATGGGGGGCGTGAGCGGTATGGTGGGCATCAGTGGAATGGGGGGCATGAGCAGCATGACTGGTCAAATGCTTAGTGCTGACACTCATCTTAGCCAGACAGTTGGATCCGTTTCCCCTGGTACATCTCGAAGAAGGGTAACAAAATACAGCACGGTACAGTATGCTAATCAGTAAGGCTTCTATTAGTATATTTTTCTGCAGAGATCATGATTTACATTGAAATTTTTAACTCTTACTAAATATACCTAAGTATATTTTTATTATTTATAACTAGCAAATAGTACTAAAATTCCTGTGATTCTTGTCTGAGTAAGAATCTCGTAAAGCTATCCAGTTTCAAAGTGAAACACAGAAACATTGTCAATGGGGGAAAGTTCAGGTAAGCAACTTTAAATATTTTCTTTTATTATTACAAATGCAGTGCTAAAAACAGATGGTGCTTCCTCTTCCATAGCATGGCTTTTGCATATTGTCAGTGTTAAGAGTGAGAATATCATTCATTCAAAACATCGCCCTCCTAATATACATTAGTCAGCGTGCTCTCTATTTCCCTGCCATATTTCTCAGGCAATATGAAAATGGAACAGCACTGGAGCTGTGCTGAAATATTTAGGACCAATTTGAACAGTTAATTTGGTTCAGGAGCAACCGATTTATGCAGAGTCTATCCAGAGCAAAAATTTCATATTGGATATCCATTTCCAATACTTACTCAGCTAAGCTTAAAATGAGCTTAAAATTGGTCCAGGAGAAAGAGCTTAGTATCAGAATGTGTCAGTGAGACGGAATCACTGTATGTGTATCGTACTGACACGCATGAATTTCATATGGCGCCCATGCTGAGATATTTTATCATATTTATGGCCTGTCATGATATCTTTGGCCTTTATTTAAATTAGGATTAATGGCCCTGTGACTGATTAACTGCCCCTCTCCCAGATGTGGTGTGGCAGTAGTGCAGTGCTGTCTCGGGAAAGGGTCATCGTTGTGACTTTTCAACACAGTGTTTAACTAATCACTTCCATTTGCTTGGGGTTTACATTGCATGTTGTCACTATACGTTTTACAAAAAGTTACTTATCCTAAGTTATTCCCTTGCCACTAACCTAATAGAATGTATAGAAATAGTTACAAGCATATAAATACAGTATATTCTCATTACTCACCACTCCTCTCAGTAAATACCAGGACTTCCATCCTGAAGGGTTTGACGCAAAACACACCACAACTAGTCCATCTGATCTGGTAAGGGTATGAAACTATTAGTCATGTCTGTGTCTCCACTAAACTTACTTCCATAGGCTAATCAGCCATGACTGCTATCCTCAGTGACTCAGAGGTTCTTAGTCAGGCTTGCTGCCATCTACTAACCAGAAGATAATCTCCAATTTCTGGATATATTCTGAGTATTATATTATATCTTACTAGTTCTCTGCACTAACAAATCACAAGGAAATATCATCTTAGCTTCATGTTCTGTGGGTACAACTGCAGTTTACTCAAAGTGTTATAATTCTGATTTTCGCAGTAGAAGTCTTTCAGGAGAAGAAAAAACTACTTGAGAAAACATAGCTTTGCTAGCGCACAGTACAGAGACTAGATATTTCATATCATGTCTGTACTTTGCATTGTATTTCGAAAGTGAATTTGAATATGTTAAATGGGAAAACTACATGGAAGTCCTTATGGATTTTATCATCTAAATTAAATTGGGTGTTTAGTTCCTATTTTTCCACAAGACGCCAGCTCAGCCAAAATCTCAATTTGCTTGAAACTAAATAAATACAAACAGTAAAAATCTGGCCTCAGATTTCAGCTGATACTAACAAAAAGTTGGAAATCTTTTATCCATTCCTTAGTGCCTCTGTGGATAGCTTACTAATTGCATATATACATCATAGAATACATGAAGCTGAATGAACAAAATACTGAAATATAGTAACTACCTTGTTTCAATTCTGTACCATATGTAAAGTATAGTAACTAGTGTACACAACAATACTTTAGTGTAAATACAATAAAATTATTCATGGGGCTTGTTTTGTCACTAAACTATAAAATCTGTATTTCTTTTCCCTCTTGCTTTGCTCCTTCAATGCTGATGGGTAAGTTATTGAGGAGTTTACGAGAGTTGTATTAGGATAATCACTTGCTCTCTGACATCACTTCCCATGGGTTAAAAGGGAGAAGGAGACTTAGTCACCTACCTAGATTGATTTATCTCATAAGATCTGGACAAAGAGTTTCTGAGCCTGATGTCGTTTAAAGGCTTTTCTAAATTATGCTTGCTGAAATGCCAATTGGCCCACTGTCAAAGACAGTGTGAAGTGCCTTCTGCAGTGACATTACAGCCACAGATTCCAGTGGCTTCCTGAAGTTTATCATAAAGCCCAAGGCTGCCTCACAAAAGGGTTCTCCCATGGTATTGTATCCAGCTTCAAACCTCTTACAAAGCCACTTGTTGTGCTACATATTCTACACATTAATGCTGGTGTAAGTCTCTTAGGACCTGATTCTGCAATCCTCACTCAAGTTGGGTATCACTTTGGTTTTATTGACTTAAATGAAAATTTTCTCCCCAGTAAGTCCTATGTAGTGTGAGTAAGGATTGCAGGATTGTTCATTGAAGAAGGAAAACAGGTTGCTACTGTACACAGGCTTATGGTTTCATGACTGAGTATTGCAAACTATAAAGTTCAGTACAAAAATCAAATGTTGCCTTTTTCACTAACCAAAAAGCTATTATTAACAAAAATGACTTTGATGTAAAAAAGGATTTTTTCCAAAATATCAGTGTTGTCTAAGTATTTCTCTAATCATGTTATGCAAATCAAAAATATTCTTCCCCCCCATGATATTCACTAGTTGTAAAATTAGGCTTCAGAAACACTTGCTGCATTCTTTCTTTACCCTGTTGAACAGGAATGTTGTATGATGTATCAGTGTTTGAACTAGCTATAGTCTCTTGCATGTCTAGGAATAGAAATGGTTTTAAAAAAAGGAAAAAATGTTAAAAAACCTGGATCTGTTTGATTATACAGTAGTTGCCTTTCTTTGTTAGTAATAATTTCTGCCAACTCTTTTTAAAGAACAGTAGTTTGATGTTTAGTGAAGTGTCATGAAAGAATATGCTAGTGTAGTTTTTTAACACTTGATTTCCCATGGATCAAGCAGCAACAACATTATTCCCTTTCAAACTGCACTACCAATGCATTTCTGAATATTAATTTCTCTTGCTGTGTAATTTCAGCTTTTAAAAAAAGTTTTGTTAGTAAGATACGGAAGTTTTTAGCTTACTACAAATTGTTGAACAAAAATGTATTTGGAAATGTGAGAAATTATTCAGTTTATTAAAAATTCTGTACAAACACTTTTGCTAGACTTATTATTGCTGGAAATGGCATATAGTTTAATCCTCATTAAGAGATATTTAGTTTAATTTTGCTTTCCTTCAATTATTGTATAAAAGTGTGGTTTCTGCCTCGGTTGTTTAATAATGTTGTTTTATAATGCAACCTAAGGGCTGTTCAAGTTAGAAGGGCGAAACTGAATGCGAATATGTAGATTTCAATCCTGCTGCAAGCCTTTCCCACAAAGTATTCCTGCTAAAGTGTGAAGGGCTTGGAGAAGCAGGTACACAGCTTTTATATTTGAGCCTGATCCTGCAATTTTACACAGGATGAGCTAAATCCTCAACTGGTATAAACAATGTAATGCCATTAAAGTCACTGGAGGTATGCAAATTTACACCAGCAGAGGATCTGGCCTGGTTACTTCGATTGGAGCACTCTCTGCCTTGGAACTGCAGGATTTAACTCTTTGGTCTCATTCCTGCTTCTTTTGGAATAAATAGAATTTTTAATATTGGGAGTAGAATCGGGCCCATTATTTGTAACTCAAGAAGACTCATGCTTACAGTTTAAAAATGAAGCATATCATTAGAGAGTCTTCTTGTTTTGTCTGAGACAGTATAACCAGACCCTTGAAATACTTTCTGCTAATGAATTCCCAAACAGCATAATTTCTTTTATATGTTTCAACTAAATTTTACTTGTTAATAGTCAGTTAATGGCACAGAAATAATAAGATAGAGACAAATATCTATTTACAATATGTCATGCTTTTTTAAGACGTGCTGGTCAGGAATTTTTGGCCAAAATGTCTTTTGACAAAAAACACAGTATCTGCAAAATTTTCTGCAAGAAAATTTCAATTATGCCAAAATGTTTGGATTTTCAGTCAGAAAAATTGAAATGACATATTTTATTTGCGGTCAGATCAACCTGAATCAAAACATTTTGGTTGGTGTCAGTTCAACATTAATCTGTTTCTTTTTGCGAATACAGACTAACACGGCTGTTCCTCTGAAACCTGTGTTGATACAGTGCCTCACATGCCCTCATTTGCCTTTATGAGCCAAGCTCCCTTTCTGGATGATATTTCCTATGATACCCCACAGTCTCCCTTTTAGGGGAACTATTGGAGTGCATCTTGGAAAATATAGGCCAGCCACGTAGGCCAGCCCATACAAAAGAATAGGGGCATCAGGCACCTACACTACAACTCCCATGAGACACTGCAGCAACTCAGAAAGACACAGTTTAGTGTTGAATCAAGTCAAAATAAAATAAAACAATTCAGTTCGACAAATGGAAACAAAACATTCTGACATTTCTGAATCAATCATTTTCTGAAATTTCCATTCTATGAAAAATGTTTATATTTCAACTTTTCTACTCAATTTGTGACAAAAACAAATTTTGAAACATTGGAATTTCCCATGGGACACAAATTCTGAATTTCAACTAGCACTACTTTTAAAATGTTCTGTCTGAAAGTAGTATGGGGGGGTTTTTTTAGAAAAGTACATTTCTTAATTTTTAAAAATCTAATTTAGCACTATATTTTGTTGTTAAATCTCGACAGTCTTTCCTTCAGTATTTTATACAACATTGCAAACAATTGATTTAAATATCTGAGCAACAAGTTCTATCTTTTATTAGTCACTGATCATTTTCAAATATATATTGATAATATAGTGACTTCCCTGGGAAGACTGCAATATAATACAAAGAGAGGTACTGGAACTGGCAACATTTCCCCTTCATTTTCAGTGTACTGAGAAGCTCCCATTACTTTTCAGTGTGGAAGCAAAACAAAGGCATAATAAAGGATCAGCTATGCCCCTTCTCTGCACAAGCAACCCCCATGGAAATCTATGGGAGTTATAGATAGCCTATAGCCCTAAATAATAACACCATTGTCCAATTGCACTGAAAACTTATGTTAAAGGAAACAATGACAAAAATATACTTGTGATATTTTCAAAAAACAATCATCTGACCATAAAAAAGTCACTTTCTTGTTGCCGTTGATATTTAAAAGGCCATCAGAGGTATTCTTTGAAAAGGAACATGTAATTCAAGATGTTAAATAAAGTTAAATAAAGTATAAAATGAAGTATTTTATCTAAAAAGCGAAATAAGTACTCTGAAGCTGTTTAACTGACATTTACCATGTAGACTGACTTTTGATATTGATTATGCATTAGCAGATTTATTTGCAAATAAGTTTGTTTCGCTGATTTTATATGTATTGTCTATTGATTGGCTATATTTTTATACTTTCTCAAAAGCCCTAATAAAGTGATATTAAATACACTGTTTTTGTTGCAGAGTTCTTTTCAGCTTGTTCATTAAAGGTTTATTTAAAGTCATTCAAACTCTAGGCGTAACAGATGGTAATTTTACTCCCATAGTTCACAATCCCACAATGAGTCCTTGTGTATGGAGCCCTCTTGGTTTCAGTGGCGCTCCGCACAGGTGCATGGATCTGTCTGCGTGGAGTTCATGGCTAGATCAGTGCTTTAGGAAGAAAGGGAGGTCTTGTGACCCTGGACTGGGACTCAAGAGACTTGGCTATGCAATAGACTTCTTGTGGGACCTTGGCAAATCACTAAATTTCTCAGAACTCTCAGTACCTTGTCTGTAAAATGGGGATGATAATTAATTCCCTGCCTCTTAGGTTATGTCTACACTGCAATAAAAGACCTGTGGCACTGAGGCCCAGAGCCCAGAGCACTTGACTCAGGCTTGTGGTGCTCAGGCTGCAAGGCTAAAAAATAGCAGTGTAGACATTTGGGCTCAGGCTGAAGCCCGGCAAGGAGGGAAGGTCTCAAAGCCTGGGCTGAAGCCCAAGCCCAAATGTCTATGTTGCTATTTATAGCCCAGCAGCCTAAGCCCCGAAAGCCTGAGTCAATTGACCTGGGCTCTGAGACTCAGCACTATGGATTTTCTTTGCAGTATAGACATACCCTTAAGGTGTTGTGAGGATAAATGCATTAATGTTTGTATGGTATTCAGGTACTATGGTGCTGGGCATCACATAAGTACCTAGATAGATTTTCCAACCATGTATCTTTCACCATCTGATACTGTAGGCTACTGAACACCTGCTGCAACCTTCAATGCTGAGAATCTACCTTCAGCGCCCATTAAAACCAGTGGAAGTTGAGGGCTGCCAGCACATTTTGTAATAATTCTGTTGCATTCAATTTGTATTTGATAGTTCCACTACTTCAAGCTCAGAAATACAGTATTGAGCTAGCTTCTAAATTATTTCTGTGGAGTTGAAAGTTTGCCTCATATTGTTCAGTTAACATTCCAATACTACAGTTCTGATGTAAGACAAAAGAACCCTCGGTATTTTTATGAAGCAAAATCAGAACTAATTGATATATAATGGTGCCAGAAATTACTGGATATTAATGTTCTGCCAATATCATTATTTGGGGTATATATTTTAGTACATTTATTTTACTCATTTAATATATTACTCCACATGTGTTACTATCATTGCTAATATGACTTATTGAAACTTGAAATATGAACAAAAAGTCCAGCCCCAACATCTTTAATTAGGTAAAATTCCCACTGAGGTTATGGACCTAAACTGTCAAAAATATTTAAACATCATGAAACAACAAATATGCAACAAAGTATATGTTATCACTGATATTAACCAGAATAGCTTGCACTCTACAGCATACAAAGCTGTGAAATCCTGAGAGTCTAGTGACTATGGGTCCATGGTTCTGATCCTGTTCCCACTGAAGACACTGAAAGCTTTGCCACTAACTTCAGTGGGAACAGAGTGGGAGCCATTTCGGTTTGTTTGGTTTTGGGTTGTGTTATTTTCTTTATATTTGCCATTTAAACCAGAATTTATTGTGCATTTACATAAACCAATAAATAGATTGTGAGAGTATGTATCCTGTAATCATTCCACACAGGGAATCTGGCATAAAAATACATGGCATGTTATGTCTGGCAGAACTGTCATCTTGCGACAGATACTATCTTGCTTCAAACTGTTCATGGTATGTAAAAGAAAACTAACCATTTTCATCAGTACGGTAATGTGACATTTCAAAAGGAAATGACACTTCTAAGTATACATATGAATTTATACACATACATACAATTAATTTGGCATCAACTTTTAAAATGTCATACCTCTGAGAAAAGTAACTGGGATGAGGTTGTTTTTTTTTACTAGTTTGATAAAGCCATGTGTAACCAAAAATAGCAGGCTCAGTGTGAGATGGGGGTTGCAGCATTTTATGGCATATTGTCTTCTACACACATGCTTTTCAGCTGTGATATGACACAGGCTATGCCATACCACAGACTAGCAGTATCATGGTAAAGACTCAGTAAATCCTTCAAGTTTGAAAGTCCCCTTGACTTCATTAGGCATTCTATTCACAAAGGATTGCACCACCATGAACAGGTTCAGCAAAATGCATGGGTGTGACAGGCCTCTCGCTTTCCTGTCATGCATTACATAATAAAACAAAATTTTGTTGCATAATGTTGTAATCTGTAGCAATGTTGATTATTTATGGGGCAAGGCTCTTTTCCCCCAATGCATGGCATCTCCAAACCATACAGCTGCTGTTGAGCGTCTCACCAGTTTTCCTTCTCAACAACTGGGCCTTTTTGGTGAGATTGAACTGTAGATGAATCAGACATAATGGATTTCAGGCCCTATACAGAGTGATTTAGGTTTACCCTTATGTATCCTTAAAAGGATTTATTTGTTCTTGTATTTAATCCAATTCAACTAAGAATAAGTTCTGCTACAAAGGGTACAACACTGACCCCTCTCTCCAATACCCTTAAAGGCTTCTGTAGCATCATGGTATTCTCATTCTACACAATAAGAGTTAAGGCTTTTTTCAGAGTGCTATTTTCTTCCTCCTCAGTCTACTATTTCTCTGATCTAAATCCCTGTTTCTGGAGTGCAGAGTCAGCTACATGAAGCTCCCAACTACTGCGAGCATGAGGAATGTGCAATAAAGCTGAAATCCACCAATCACCAAATCATTCTGAAACCCATCAACAATGTGGTAAAGAACTAACAGGGAAGCACAAAGATGTAGGTGACTATTCTTTCTGCGACTGTCTGTCTTTTGTTTTAGGTTTTAACTCCACGGAGAGAGAGAGAGAAACCTGGGGCCTGATCCTAAGAAGTGTGGAGCACCCTGCGGTCCTCTCGACTGCAGCCCAGCATCTTGTATGGGTAGGCTCAAGCAAAATTTCACTGCACATAAAGTAATACTTTCTAGGGGACAGAATGAGTAGCACCTTACTGTATGGGTAGCCCCAGTGAAGTAAATGAGTTTTCTTAAGGAGAAAGATGCTACTTAACAAGAGTAAAGAAATTTGGCCCTAGCGTAACAACAATATTGTGGTTTACCAATACCTGTAGTTTAAAGTTATTTTGTAGAAAAAACAGAAAAACTTAGCAAGTAAGGAGTCTGGATATTTTATATTTATTTTTAACTGACCATTAGACATTACAGAGCCAAACATCATGCTGTCTTTACAATTTCTTTGAAATCTACCGGTAGTCATGAACTCATTATTCTAATGACAGGTTTCAGAGTAGCAGCCGTGTTAGTCTGTATTTGCAAAAGGAAAAGGAGTACTTGTGGCACCTTAGAGCTAACAAATTTATTTGCGCATAAGCTTTCGTGAGCTACAGCTCACTTCATCGGATGCATCCAGCATCCGATGAAGTGAGCTGTAGCTCACAAAAGCTTATGCGCAAATAAATTTGTTAGTCTCTAAAGTGCCACAAGTACTCCTTTTCCTTTCATTATTCTAATGTTCATCAGAATCCAAAATGCCACCCTTACTCGCACTGGGTAAGATTTTTCAAAAGCACTTAAGTGATTTAGGAGCATAACTCCCATTGAAAATTAATGGAACATGTGCTCCAAAGTAACTTAGACTCTTGAAAAGCCCAACCACTGAGTAGGATGTTACTCACATGCGTAATCCCATCAAAATTCACAGGAATACCGAGGGTGAGAAAGATTACTGAAAAAGACAGTGTAACTGGGTATTAAGTGAATCATTTACCTAGGAAGTCTTGGCTATTCTATACCACTCTTACAGTTTTTTCTTCTTAACATATTTTATCCTTGATGTTATATCTTTTCTAGTTCATTTCCATTCAGTATTTGCCCAAATAGAGAAAACAGATCAGTTTGTGTTATAAATAAGGAAAGAAAGAAAAGTATGTTGGACAGATGACAACAAAGGAATAATGGTGGACTCTGTGGTTTCAGACATCACCGGATGTAAGTTAACATTTAATTTCAAAGGCTGAACTTATGTAAAATGTGAAAAACAATAATGTTTAAAAGTAAAATTCCAACTTTAACAACTGATAGAATGAAATGCTGAGGTTTATGAAGATTTTTATTAGAGAGCATCTCCTGTACAGAAAATCTGTCTGATGGCAAATACCCTTTGATAAGTACAGGAATAAGAACCTCCCTGCAATAACAGTTTTTCTCTCTCCTTTCTAGATAATGACAGTATCTTTTCCCTTCATTCTCTAGTAGGACTCCAAAACTCGAAGCCCCTGTTGTGCCTTCATATATTCAGTTTTCATTGTATCTGGTATTTCCTAGGAGTTTAAGCAAACAAATTGGTCAAATTGTATTTCTTATTCAAATTGCAGTGTAATCAAGTTCTTTCAGATGAACTAATGGGGCAAATCATCCCATGGTTAAAAGTGCAGAAGGAAATCTCTTACTGGATCACATCATGAAGATCCACCATGTCACTCTGTCAGGGCACTGGGAAGAGATCCCACTAGAAAAAGCCATGGAGTCTGCTGGCAAACCTGGCTGATCCCCAAAGATCTGCAAGGATTCTGGCCTCCCAGTGGCTCTCATTGAAACCACACTATCAGGGACCCCTTCCAGCCACAGCTGCCCCATTGGGGTGGGGTATATAGAAAAGATAAAACAAACCTGAGCTGTATTTACTTTCCCTATAAATCTCTACAGGTTTGAAGAGAGGACAATGTGTGTGGTCCTCCAGCCCCTCTGTTCTCCCTCCCTTTCCCCGAGAGTGGACTCAGACCCACCGAGGACATTCTATATGATCCAAAGAGTGGGTGGAAAGTTGCCCTGGAGATAGATTAATTCCTCCTTTTGCTTGGAAAAAAAATAGACCACGTATGGGGGCAATCCAGGCCATTATGAGGGATTTGGGTAAGAAAAAATCATAAATTCAGATTACCACAAGGAGTACAAATTTCCTGTTCTCCCAGAAAATATTCAGATAAAGGTCCAAATTCTACCCTAAAATTTTCACCACAGAATCTAGGCAAGAGGATAATTTGGGGTGATTTTGCAGCTCACAATAGTCTCTAGAAAAATCTTGATATGACTACATTCTACCTGATTGAAAGATAATCATAGAATATCAGGGTTGGAAGCGACCTCAGGAGGTCATCTAGTCCAACCCCTGCTCAAAGCAGGACCAATCCCCAACTAAATCATCCCAGACAGGGCTTTGTCAAGCCTGACCTTAAAAACTTCAAGGGAAGGAGATTCCACCACCTCCCTAGGTAACACATTCCAGTGCTTCACCAGCCTCCTAGTGAAAAAGTTTTTCCTAATATCCAACCTAAACCTCCCCCAGAGCAACTTGAGACCATTACTATAATGGATCTCTCTGTCCTCCAATTTGTACTCTCCAATCCTTAAAAGGAGATAGGAGTTAGGAGAAAGAATTTCAGACTAACTGCACAACTTCCAATGCTATCTGCCTTCAGACACTGTTCTTTGCCTACTATTCAAATATGCCTTTTGGAATGGACAGCTTGGTTTCTGTAGTCCGTTCTGATGTGGAGCTACTGGGATATGTGAAGTTATGTGAATGAAAAGCTTGCCATGCAAGTATCAGTATTTAATAGCTTTGGCATGGGACATTACAGGGATTTTTGCTTCAACTAAATGCCAGCTATTATGTACTGCAGAGGAAAAGGATGATCAACACTGTGCTCCTGTCTTCCCTTCAGACCACCTTCATTTCCTATAGATAGCTGTGTTCCCTAAGGAATAGCTTCCCTGTAGTTAACTCAGGTAATTGCCACTCAGGTCTGAGCACCTGAGTTAGCTTAGCCCAAGTGTGAGCAGCCACACTGCAAAGTCCTGCCTGAGTTACTGTGTCCTCACTGGTGCTGCATTCAACCATGTGTGTCACTAGGATTTTGGGGGGCATATCCTGTGTTTCTTTTGTGCTGCAGTAAGCTGAGTCACTATCATTTTTTCCCAGTGAATTGTGGGAGAAAACTTATCTGACTTTTGGGGCACACAGGAAGGAATTTTGAGAAAGTACTAGAAGACTATCAGCACCTGAGTGGTTTAGTGTGCATCTTTACTGCCAAATGGACAGGTTACCAGCCCAACTGAAAGTGGAACCCAAGTTCTTGCCTTCATCCTCAGCCACGTAAGTTAGCCGGTGTTGAAAGCACCACTTACCTTGAGTGAGACATTTTTGTGTGTGGAACAGAGGGGAAATAAGAGCAACACCAGTGTAAGAACCCAGGCTAACTGCAGTGAAGACATATCCTAAGAGTTCAAGCAATTCCCAGGCTAATTCACTTGACACTATGTGATATGCCCTCTCAAAATCTATACAACACTTGCACAGATCTCCTCCTTGAACAAAGCATTCTGTTGCATTCAATTTGCATTTGATAGTTCCAAAGAGAGTTGTCTCAGAGTGAAGAAGTGATCAGCACTTCTATGTCTCATTCAGAAATAGACTTGATTTTCATGTAGTCTTTCACTCAGCTGTCTTTCCCTTTTTCCTCAGCTCTATTGCAAGAACACCAACTCTCTAACCTCTTGATTACTAATACTTTTGTCGGTCTCTCGTCCCCTTTTCCAAACTTACTATACAATGAAAATATTATTGCTTGTTTCCAAGCCTTAGGCATTTTTTCCTGATCTCTAGGTACATTTTTTTCAAGTCCCGTGCCTTTGGCCAGGTATATACTAGAAAAGGATTTCTGATAAATCTATACTGGTATAACTATACCAGCGAACACTCTTAGGCTAAAGCAGTTTATACTGGTAAAAAGTGAGGTAGGTAGTATATCTTATACGGTCACCAAACCTGTAATAAGGTATACCAGCAAAAAGATTTTTGTATCAGTATAATTGTGCCTAAACTAGGGTGTTAGCCAGTGTAGAAATGTCACAAAATAATCACCCCTCCTCCAACCAACATTGCTATACTGGAAAAAGTTTCTAGCATAGACATGGCCTTTAACACTAAGGGGGAAATCCTGCTTCAACTGGAGTCAACAGCAAAATTCTTATTGTCTTCAATGCGAGCAGTAGTAATTTCCTCCCCTATTCAGGCTGCAATTTGTTTGCAGAAGCTGTTTATTGAATAACTACAAAGATGATCTGTAAATATCAAAGTCTGTTTGTGAATGATTCACAAACAGAAAAAAGGGATTGATTCACAACATATATGTCTATCAATAGCTTTAATTTAGCTTACTCCTTCCAATGTCTGGCTACCCTACCTGAGCTTACCCATAAAGAGCATCACTGTGTACTTTAATGAAAGATGTTTTAGATAACATACAAATCCATATCAAATGAGCTGTGTTGTAGAGTGGATTGAAACAACAAATGAATTGTTCTGCCACTCTCTTTTCTGTGCAGTGGAAGGGCCTTTCTTTTTCGGACTTTGGTACAATGTCAGAAACCTGTGTTAAAGAAAAGAATTTTGTCAGGTTGTAACAGCTTTGCCAAGCAAACAGGTCACTTGTTCAACATGCCAACTGAAATGTGTAATTAGAACTCACATAATTTAAATGAATTATAGTTAAGCAACTTTGCTATACAAGGGAACAATCAGTTTTCTAGTAACACTCCTGCACAGGGACTGCACACTTCCTTTCCTATATCCATGCTGCCCAAGCAAAAGCCTGATTCAAAATTCATTGAAATCAATGGGAATCTTTCCAGTGGTTTCAGTGGGCTTTGGATCATGCCATGAAAGCCAAGTTCTGCATTTGGCACCCTGTTCTGTAGTATCTCCCTACAGCGTCTCCCTGAATTACAGGTAAAATTTTCTAGAATTATCAACAGCATTCCCTTTGCAGCCTGCCATAATCACGGAGCCCAAAGGATCAGAGTATGGCACAGCTGCTGACATCTAGCTACTATTCATTGGTGCCACAAAATACAAGGTTGACAAAGAAAAGGAGGAGGAAACAGACAGTAATTATGACAGAGAGAACACAGAATAGGGACGGGAAGAAAGTTAAGTGGGAAAGAAAGGAGACAGAGATTGAGTTTGAGAAGAGGTAGAACAGAAGGAGGAGGGAAATTATTCCAGCCAGTGAAAGGGAAATAAACACCCTGAATTTATTAAAAAGATCTGAATAGAGGAGACACAGAAAGGATCAACCAAATACAGTTTATGAACACAGAAGAATCAGAAGCATTTTTGTATGTGTCCAACTATAATCTGTTTAGTAGAAAGTAATGACACTGAACCACTCTTCCCTGTCTGTACTTTATACTTTTCAACCAATATTCTCACATAGGCCCAAACCCCGTAAGCTCTTAAGCACAGGCATAACTTTGTAATTAATGGGGTTACGCCTGCTTAAAGTTAAACATGCTTAATGGATCAGGGCCTTAATACAAAAAGTTTTTCTCTTAATCCTATTAATAATAATAATAATAAATTTATAAATAAGTAATAATAAATTTTTTACTTAAAATTTTTACTTATGATACCATTTTCTATCAGTAACTCACAAATCACTTTACAAAGGAAATCAGTATCATTATCCCATTTTACAGCTAGGGAATCTGAGACACAGAGGTGTAATATTTAAACTCAATAGGTGTTAAAATTAATAGTAGTTAGAAGCGAATTCTTGTGCAACTCTGTGAAATCTGGGCAACGCCCTTTAATTGCAAATACTTGAACAGATCATTGACAATAGTCACAAGAACTGTGTGGTAAGAATTTTAAAACAATGGACCAGGGTGGAGTGTGATTTTTAAGACAATAAAAAAATATTCTCATATTACCTTAATATGACATACAATGAGCTCGGAGCATTTCATCACAGCTAGACTCTGGATTTCCTGCTGTACATGAAGTGAGCTGTAGCTGACGAAAGCTTATACTCAAATAAATTGGTTAGTCTCTAAGGTGCCACAAGTCCTCCTTTTCTTTTTGCAAATACAGACTAACATGGCTGCTACTCTGAAACTTGTTAAATACTGTACCTGTTCCATTTAATTCAACAACTTGATTTTAAAAAATTATAGATGATTGTCAAGTCTTTGGTTTCAACACTTTTAAAGGCATTATAACAGATTTTCATTGATTTCATAAGGAAGTAGGTTGGACCCTGGATGTTTTAATCTAACCTCCCCCCCACTCCCTTCTTCCCCACCCCAAAAAAAGAAATTAATCATATGCTAAAATTGTTACTCTAGCTTTACTCAGCATGAAATGAGACTGGCACTCATGAGTGATCACATGAGAATGTTTCACTGGAAGTACACAGGTCTCATTACTGTCACTCAGAAGATGGCGCTGGATGTGCTCATAATAAATACTGTAATACTGTGACTTATTACAAAAATAATATTTTTATGAAATTGTGTATTTGTTGTTCAATCTATATGAAGAAAATTATATGGATGTTTAAACTTTTAGAAAGGAATAGCAATTTAGGGCCTGCTCCAATGCTCATCAAAGTACAGTAGAACCTCAGAGTTACGAACACCTTGGAAATGGAGGCTGTTCGTAACTTTGAAATGTTCATAACCCTGAACAAAATGTTATGGTTGTTTTTTCAAAAGTTTACAACTGAACACTGACTTAATACAGCTTTGAAACTCTACTATGCAGATGAAAAATGCTGCTTTTAACCACCTTAATTTAAATGGAACAAGCACAGAAATAATTTCCTTATCCTACAAATCTTTTTTTTTCAACTTTCCCTTTATCTTTTTAGTAGTTTATGTTTAACACAGTACTGTATGGTATTTCCTTTTTTTATTATTTTTTTTTGTCTCAGCTGCTGCCTGATTGTGTACTTACGGTTCCAAATGAGGTATGTGATTGACTGGTGTGTTTGTTACTCCGCACTTCTCCTGTAACTGGAAAGACTTACACTGTCTTCCATGGACTGTGGATGGGGCTTGGTCATTTGTAGATTTCAATAACGAACAGGGTGTTATGCAAAGAAACTCAGCCTGAGCTGAGCTCAGCTTTGGAGCACTTCCGTATTGTTTTTCAGCATGTTTGAACTTTGAACCTATACCAGCTAGCAGAAGGATACAAGCACCTGTATCCTTGTATTGTTTACCTGTATCATGTATAAACTGATTTCCTGGGCCATAATTGCAGACCAGTTTTAGAGCTAACGTTAGTAAAAGTACTGAGATTCTATTTTAAACATTTGTAATTCTTGAATGAAAGAAGCAAAATAAGTGCAAATTATTGTAATTTTTAAGGTGTATACCATGTCTTGGAGAACAGGACTGAAGCCCTTAATATTATCTATATTTTTAATTGTGTGAGTTAAAGGTAGATTCAAAGCTCTGGGTATATTATGATTGACAGCCTAAGAGCACCAGCATCATTACAATGTAAATGAAAGTGTCTCATTATATCAAAGATCCGTAAGGAAAGCTGGGAGGCTAGTTTATAGCATATATCGGTGAAATTGAATGGATGGTCATGTGGTGAAGGGACTAGGATGGAAACAGATAGATGTGAATTTAGCTCCTGGATCTGCCCGATGTCAAATGTGAACTTGGGAAAGTTACCTCCATACAATAGGAATAATATTTTCCTATCTTAAAAGGAAGCTGATATACAGATAAATTCATAAAAATGTTTAGGTATGTCAATAATGAGTGCTATAAAAATGATAAACAAGAAATCAGGAAGCTCAGCATTAGTGGTAATTGAAAGTATTTGCAGGAGCTTTGACTGACCTATGTGAATGTTATCAGCATCACAAGTGCAGGTCTGGCAGAAGGAAGTTTCTGGGAGCACAGCTTCCACATACTCCCTGGCTCTAGTGGCTGATCTTTCTCTGGCTGGACTCTGGGGGACAAGAGTTACTGCTGCTTCCTGGCAGCTCACTATTTCTGCATCTGGCACTACTCCTACAAAGGCTTATGCATGTGAAATCAGTGAGATTACACAAACGAATAAAGTTGCACACTTGACTAAGTGTTTGCAGGACTGGGGCCTCAATACTTGACATGGGTCTATTATTTTTAATTGATTTTAAATGGAAATGAGAAGGTTTCACTTTATTTTAACGCAGAAATTATTTTGATTAGTTGTAGAAATGTATTCCACTAACAAATGGCCCTAACAAATAATTAGCACTTGCATCAAGGTTCCACTTGGCTACATTGCAGAGCACAAAAAATTACCAAAAAATTTTGTAGTAGTCTATTAATCTGCAAATGAATGAGCTTTCCTTACAGATCTTTGACATGAGACACGTTCATTTACATTATAATGATTCTGGAACTCTTAGGCCGTCAGTCATAATATACCCAGAGCTTTGAACCTTGGTATAGCTCACCCAATTAAAAATACTGTATATAGATCATATTAAGGGCTTCAGTCCTATTCTCCACTGCACACCTTAAAATTATAATAATTTCCACTTATATTGCTTCTTTCATTCAAGAATTACAAAACTTTAAAATAGGATCGCAGCACTTTTACTAACATTAGGTAAGCCTCAAAGCATGTTTGTGAGGAACAAAACCATTAATGCACCCATTCACAAGTAGCTACACTTCGGCATAGAGAAGTTATGTTCCTTGACCAGTGAGACTGTAACGCGGGGCAGAGCTAGGAATATAACACTGCAGCCACTGCACTTGGACATGTGGTATCACTGATTTTTTTCTAAGCAGCAATATGATGTGCATAGAAAGGCAGCAGCAATTTCTATATCACTATTTCCTAAATCAACAAAAGTGAATACATTCTGAGGTAATGCTGGTTCTCTGGCCTCAACTTACCATTTTGTGTCTAACTATTGCAGTTGTTTCAGATGGAGTTATTTACGGAGATGCTGCATGTATGATGCAAAATGCTCCTGGGTAGCTATTCCTCTGAAAGAGTCCGAATTCTGTTCATGATATTAGAATTGGTTAATTCAGAAATGATGTGAAAAGGTATTTACCACAGTTGAATCTGACCTAATCAATGCTAATTAATCAGCATCTATCGCATAAAGGCGTCCAATCCTTGTAAAAGTAAGAAGCATGCTTACCTTAATTGTCCCGTCCCCCCTCCCCCCGGAAATCATTAGATTCTGGACTGCTGGGTGCTAATTAATCAGGTGGTGTTGAGCAGAGAGCAGTATCAGAAAGGGATACAAAGGAAACGGCTTGCAGGGTATGGAACACAGATTAGGAGCATCATCAACATTGGCAGGCTGTGTTGGAGCAATTCTTCTTACCACTTTTCCATGAGTCCATGTTTTCCCTGGGAAGCCGCATTCCTCATTAATGAAGGCTGCCTCTTTGTGAAAGGATTGGCTGTGAAGCATACTCCGCTTGCTATGACTTGTGGTGTTCTTGCGGGTGGAGGGGAATGGAACGAGCCTTCCCTATATTTGAAACCCTCATCCAAACACCTGTTCAGCCCAAACCTGCCCAGAGACAAAAGCATGACTATGTGTGAAGAATCCTTTGGGAAAGCTACCCCGCAGCGAGTGGGGATAAGCCTTGTGGCGTGAGAAGCAGAGGCACGTAACAATCAAAGATCAACATAGAAAACAAGTCTGTTTATTAGAGAAACTCGGTACTGACAAGGGTGGGGAGATAGATAGATAGATTTGCCCAGATCCCCATCGGAAAAAGAGTAGCTGCAACATAAAAACAAAACAAAAGTTTTAATAAAAGTTCTCGCCCTAGAAAAAATCCAAGGAGCGACCAGGCCTAGAGGATAAACAACCCCCCGATCCCGGTCAGTGGTCCCTCCAGGACGGGAGGGAAGTATTGCGCCTGCCAAGGCTGTAGCTGATGAGTGAAGGAACAGAGCCGGGCAGCGTCCAGGGCTGGTGAGCGCCGCGGTGTGCGTGGCAAGAACCCGAGGAGCGCCCCGGGAAACGGGCCAGGGCTCGCTGGGACAGCGGGGCCTTTCCCAGGTAAGCAGCTGCGTTGTCTGTGGCTGGCGCTTCCACAAAACACCCCCATTCGTTCCCCGCTCCGCGTCCCCACCCCGCCCCGGCGCTCGCCGTCGGGCGCCAGGGGCGGCTGTGGCGCAGCCAGCGCTTGAGTTCACAGGCGTATCGCCGGCCGCTTGGACGTTGTCTCCTCCCGGCCTTATTGTGTCTTCCCCGGACAGAAGCCCGAGGAGCGGTTCCCACCGGGCTCGGCCGCGCCGCGCGGCGAAGGGAAACTCGTTCCCACCGGGACGCTGCGGTCTCTACAAGCAGAGGCGGCGGCGGCTGAGGGGCCCGGCAGCTTCCAGCCCCCGGCTCCGGTTAGTCCGCAGCCCGGAGGGAAGCAGGGCGGCCGCTGCCCCTCCCCCTGTCCCGAAGGGGCCTGGGAGACGTCACCTCCCCGCTCCCCCCTCCCAGCCCTGCCTCGGAGGAAGGCGGGATTCACCTGCCCCCTCCCCCCAGGTGTACAAATGTCAGGCCAGCCGCCCCGCGCGCCGCACTCCACCCCTCCGCGGCTCCCGCGTGCCGGCTGCCTCAGCGGGCGGGGGAAGGAATCCCGCCCCGGACTGAGTCCCGTCCCGGGCGGCGGCCGCTTTGGGCACAGGGCAGCGGGCGCCGGGGGAAAGCGGGCGGGCGGGCGGGAGGGCGACTGACTGACTCGGCCATGGCGCGGGTCCCGGCAGCCGGAGGGCTGGAGGCGCTGCTGCTCGTCACGGTGAGTCCCTAGCCCCGCGGGGCGGCGTGGGCCGGGAGGCGGCTCCGCGGTCACGCAGCCCGGCCGGAGGGGCGGTGGGGGGCGAGCGGGGCGTAGCTGCCGGGCGAGAAGCGCCTCACAGGGTTGCACGGGGCCGAGGGCGACTTGCACCTTTTCCCTCCCGCCACGCCCGGCCCGGCCCGCAGCCGCGCCTCGCCTCGGCGGGCTGTTCTTGCCTTCAGGCAGCAGCGGCGGTAATGGCGGGCGCCCTGCTGGTGGGGGGCATTCTCAGCGCTTCGTTACTGTCGGGTTTTGCACCTGTACCGAGATGTTTGGGGTGTGTGTGTTTGTTTTTTTTTTTAAATAGTTGCTGAGTAGCCTGGGGTGCGTCTAGGAATGTGCCTGGCGGCGGGCGCGGTTCTTTTACTCCGTCTTCCAGCTGTTAAATGTGACCATTCCCACCCCTCACCCTGGCGGGTCTGCCTTGAGTGTTTGGACAGGACTCTTAACTCAGTGCCAGGTCTCAGAGGGGTAGCCCTGTTAGTCTGTATGAGCAAAAACAAGGAGTCCTTGTGGCACCTTGGAGACTAACCGATTTATTTGTTGGTTTATTTTTCACTCTGTGCATCTGATGAGGTGGGTGTTAGCCCGTCAAAGCTTATGGCCAGATAAGTTTGTTAGTTTCTAAGGTGCCACAACGACTACTCCTTGTTTTAACCCAGTGAGGCTTCCATAACCTATCATAGAATAGCAGGGTTGGAAGGGACCTCAGAAGATCATCTAGTCCAACCCCCTGCTCAAAGCAGGGCCAATCCCAAATTTTTGCCCCAGATCCCTAAATGGCCCCCTCAAGGATTGAACTCACAACCCTGGGTTTAGCAGGCCAATGCTCAAACCACTGAGCTATCCGTCCTTGCCAGTTCTATTGGTTTTGTTTTCACCTATCTTGAATGGATACTGCTAAGTTAAACAAAACTTTCCAAATGAAGAACTCCTTTTACTGACATTATTAATATCTTAGATTTTTTTAAAAATTCTCTTAATAAGATAATGTGCTGTTTATAGTCCAGCTGGTTGGAAACATAATTGCCATCCTATGGAAACTTTTGGGGTTGTGGTGTGAGGAGGGAAAATAATCCTGCGTTGGGATGAAAAGTCAAAATTTCAAAAAATGTCATGGAACAGCCATGGGACTGCGCAGCCCATCAGGTTAGGAACTGGGTCAACTGGCCTCCCTGCCAGCCTTCCATTAAAAGTTTTGATGCAATTGGTACATTCCTATGAAAGATTTTGCTTCCACTGAAATCTCCATTTTCAAATGGAAAACTGTTCAGCTGAAATGTTTTTGACCCATGCCATTTATAGTTTCCTAAGCTTCAGACAACTATAGGGACACAGTCAACTTTAAACAGTCACCTTTGTTGGAAAATATTTTATTCGCTGTTGTAAGAGTTACAATGGGTGAACTTACAAATTTTAACTGGTTTGAAGTTTTCACTAGTTGTACCAGTATTCCTGATCGTGCAGGGGATACACATGTGTGGCCCCGTGCTCTGATGCACAGACCATTGGCCTTTGCTAAACTAGGAAAAGGGTGCTTTTTCTCAGTTGAGTTAGCTCAAGCCTAGGCAGGACCATAGGCTATAACCCAACTTGTTAGAAATCAAGCTAATAGTGCTAAATTGCATCTACATTAGTGTCAGATGGGATATTCCATCAGATAAAGCTAGCTCAATTGAAAAAAACACCTTTTTTCCTAGTGGTCCATCTGAGCAAATCCGATTGGAAGATCAGGGTCATTTTATAATATTTTAAATTTATTATGTATAAAGAAGGTATTGAAAGGTTTAAATTCTACATGTCCTCTACCTTAGAAATATCAGGAATGTTCTCTCTTCTCTTCCCTGGTTTGCTGAAGGTATCTTTGGAGAACTGGAAATAATGGGAGATTTCTTAGCTCTTAGTTAAAGGGGCTGGTGTGTTGAATCTGTAACAAAGAAATCTTTTCTTTCAACATTTTGTGTCTCATCTGAGTCAGTGAGGACTAAACAAAAACAAGAGTTTTAAGGAGTGGCTAAATTATGTTCCCAAAACATTTGTTCAAGTTTCACAATCATGACATCACAGGTATCAAGGAAGTGAGAGAAGGCCAGGTATCCACAGAGGGTTTTGTTTGTTTACAAAAAACAGAATGACAAGATGTGACTCTCCAATGTGAAAAACATTTGGTGGGGCAAACTTTCAGGCCTTCTTTATACATCCCAAGGAAGCAAATATGGGCTCTTTCCTTCCCTGCCTTTTGTTTTGTTTTTGTTTTTAACTTTGCAGGGCAAAGTTAGTTTTGTAAAAGATAGTTTTTACAAATTTTAAGTTTGGCCTCATGCTGTCTCTTAAATAATATTAGTTTCTGTCACACTGACTTGTAGTGGAAATAAAACGTGGTGACTGGGTTGTCCCCTTCTGTGATGAAAGCCATGGGAAGAAACTATTTGCAAAGAAATCCTTGTGGAGATTTTTCCCACAGCATCCTGTCAGGAGCAGTGTTTTCTCCCCAAACCCATAGAAAAGTATCATGCAGCCTGATGGATTTCCCCAAGTTTTTCACAGTTGTAGGGCGACATGTGGGGGGCCAGGACTGTCTGCTTGGAGGCCCTGAACCTCTTCAGGATCTCTGGTCCCTGGCAGCCTGCAGAAAAGTTAATACAGTCCTGCATACCCCATGTCAGTCAACAAGGTGTTAACAATAGTAAAATTTGGCCCCAAATAAAGATTTCAGAATTTGGCTACTATAAGTGATTGGAGCTATATTAACTTTTTGGGCATCTTCTGTAGGGCTGGATGGAGGATGATGTGCATCAGTCCTCCTCTGTGCCCTTGGCCAGCCCTGTCTCTTCTTACCAGCAGTCCCTGCAATAACTATTGTGAACAGGTTAGATAAACATCTGTCAGGTATGGTCTAGGTGTACTTAATTCTGCCTCAGCACAGTGGGGTGGAGATGACCATCCCTTCCAGCCCTATGTTTCTATGATTCAGTTTCCCTGGCTATGCAGTGCCCCAAAGGATGGGGAGAAGTGGCATGTAAACAGAACCAAAGCTTCACACACCAGTCAGCAGAGCGTGCTAGCCATGCAGCAGACAGATGAGTTCTCTAAACCCACATAAGAATATAGCAGAGAGAACATTCCCCTTATACGGCATAGAGCTTGTTCCAGTTTGCTGTGCATCATCTTGTCCCCAATAAAGGGATGCACCTAGATGGCCCTTTGTATGTTGAAGTTGGGGCTAGATTCTGATCTCAGAAACATCAGTGTGAATGGGGAGTAACTTCACCGCAGTTAAGTATATTGGCTCTGCCACCCAAGTAACTTTGGAGGAGTAAGTCTGTATTAACACCAGTGTAAGTGTACCTCTACACTTGAGCTAGAGGTGTAATTTCCAGCTCAGGTAGATATATGCACGCTAGCTTTGATTGCACTAGCATGCTAAAACTAGAAGTGTAGATGCAGAGGTGTGGGCAAAGAGATGGGCTAGCCACACAAGTAAGTACCTAGGGTTCCATGCAGGATTGTACTCAGGGCAGCTAGTCCATCCTATCACCTGCGCTGCTGTGGCCACACTTCTGCTTTAAGTGTACTAGCTGGATCAAAGCTAGTGTGCGTACTTCTACCCAAGCTAGAAATCACACTTCCAGCTCCAGACATACCTTAAATGAGATCAGACTCTGACTCATGGTGTTTAAATAGAGGGCTTTGTTACAAGGGTGGAGTATACTCATTCTCATCCTCCTGAATAGATAATTTTTCTGTTAGCAATTCCCCAGCAAATAATTCTGAGCTTCTGAGTCCACCAATGAAGCTTGAGAACCACCAATGGCAGGTGGTTAAGTGAAAGGCCTTCAGGGATTTCCCTAGAAAATATGCTTCTGTTAAAGAAATCTTAAATTAACACTGAAGAGGCCTGTGTACTTTGATTTTAATTTTAGATATTTATGTGAAATCAGAGCAGTACGTTACATTTTTTACTACTGAGAAATCTTTACTCTCGACCTTGTGATGTATACAGTTTTCCTAATCCTCTGAAAGCCTTTAATGCAAAGCAATACTTTGATGTGAAAACAAAAAGTCAGAAGTCAATACCTATTTGGAAACATCACTCTTCACTAACACTTGGAAGAGTTGTAGACAAAGGAAGTGCCAATATTAAACCAACAGCCCTTTAAAATTTTCTACTAATAAAAAAACAAACACAAAAACCGAAATATCAGTCAATCAGATCAAATCTGTGGTTTGGGCTCTTTAAATGAAAAGATGTCAATTCCACTTACCATATTTAACTGTCTAGTGTTTTGTTTCTATTTTACTTGCTATCCATTGCTTTAAAAGTATCAAGAGAGGGCACATGGTTATTCATGCACTTCAGAGATTTTATATAATACAATCATTTGCAAAGGTTCCCTATCAGGGCACAGCCTGTCCTGAGCACTCCAATCTAGTCAAAATCTACACAGGACTCATCTCACCTCCCACTTAAAAGTATGGGTAAGAGCAGGGTAATTTCCCTCTTGACACCTATTTGTGATTTCCCTGGTAAGTTGCAGCCTCTGGGAAGGGGGGGGGGGGGGGCGGAACCAATGGCCAGATTCTGTTCTCCGTGACATCCATTCAGTGTCACTGATTTATAAATAAACTTGTTCAGCGAAGATGCAAAAAGTTTAAGGAAGCAAATTGTCATACAGTTTAAGATTCCGTAGCTTCCATAATATGCATCCTTTATAGAACTTGTTCTCTCACTGTGCCTAACGCCATTGGCATGAATGGTAGTTACGCTGGCTTGTCAAATGTCAGAATATACTCTTTTAATATATGTTAATATACATGAACCATGACAATGCACCTGAAGTCAGATTGACTAGTTCATTTGTGACAGGTTTCAGAGTAACAGCCGTGTTAGTCTGTATTCACAAAAAGAAAAGGAGTACTTGTGGCACCTTAGAGACTAACTAATTTATTTGAGCATGAGC